AATGACCTGGACAAAGATTTGACTTAGATTTATTTGTTCAGTTCGTCTGTGACATTATCTCTCAACTTCAGACTTTAGAGACACCCCCCTCCCTCAATTCACATTGGTCAAAGACACACACAAGGACCTCCCCCTGACCTAGAACCAAAATCATGCACATGCACACAACAGACTCCAAAGTACCACTGTCATCTCTCCAACACCTGCCCACAGATTTACTCTCTCCTTGCAATGTGGTGCAGTCGTATGGCACTGCGTCGGCTCCAGCGGATTGCTGTTGCTCCTTTGAATATCCCCGGGGGTCTAACTAGCAACGTGCAGAGGGAGATGTCATCCCTGCCACGGGTGTATGTCACCCGGCAGATCCCACCAGATGGCCTGAAGATCCTCCGTGAATCTGGACAGTGAGTCATAGTATCCTTTTTTAAGTCTTTTCAAATAAATTATTTTTATGTAGAATCTCATATGGTGTCATGTAGCTAATTTGACTGTGATACCTTTTTGAATGGTTTGTGTAGAAAAGTTCATCATTTACTTTGAGTAAACAGGACTGCTGCTGTTTGCCCTTAGGTTAGTCAGATAAGACTGGTAGCCTAAAGGGTATTCCCCCACAGCAGAGCTGAAGAAATGTCTTACTTAAAGTCCAAATATTTATATGAAAGTATACAGTATATATGTGATAACGCCTGGAATACTGAGACTGTATATCTTAAAAGGAGCTTTAGCTGAAGCATAGCAACCAATAATTTTCCATCTATGGTAAATAAAATAAAACATGAATTGATTTCTGTTTTCATAGGGTGCAGTTTGAGATGTGGGACTCAGATGACGTCCCTGTACCCAGGAAGGAGCTCCTGCAGAAGGTCAAAGGTGTTGATGCTCTTCTCTGCGTGCTGACAGAGAAGATTGATGCCGAGTTGTTGGATGCTGCAGGTCTGAGGACAGTCTTTGAGTCAGCTGAATGATGAATGCAATGAAAACCCTTTCAAATGTACCTGTGTAATATTTGGTGTACTCCTGCAGGTCCAAACCTGAAGGTCCTCAGTACTATGTCGGTGGGTTTTGACCATCTCTCTTTGGAGGAGCTAAAGAAAAGGTGATTGCTATATTTGTATTTTAAAATTTAAAGTCAAAAGTGTTGTTATGTGTGTATACCTGCATTTCTGCCACCACCTGGTCAGTGATGGGTAAAAATGAACGGACAAATTCGTTTGAAAGGCCCTTCTGAGTGTCTAGTATGTACCAGATCGGCCTGTAGAGCTCATAAATCAGAAACGTGTTGTAACATAGTGTGGCAACAGCAATGAATGACCAAACAACCACTAATTAAATAAGACGCAAATCGAGACCTCCAGCAGCCAAGGTCAATGCTGCATTCATGTGCTCCTTGGATGGACATTCTTCTTACTTTGGTGTGTTCATGAGCTTAAAGGTGTAATTTGGAGGCAATGCTACAAAATGTTGTACAGTATTTTAATGCTCAGGGCATTTAAACATGTTGATAGTGAAAAGCAAAGACTGTCATGTCATATTGAACTTACATAGCCTATCTTCAAACAAGTGGGAAGTGAATCAGTGCTTTGAAGAGGTTTGTGGGGTGGGCAGCAATAGCTGTTGAACATGCACGTACTGTAACGGAGTGTCACAGAGAAACTAAAACCTTTCTTTTTTTAACAGTATCATAACTTGAAAGGTTGGCAACGTTTAAAAGGTTTGAAGACTTTTACACGTATTGACCCAAAGGGACCAATTCTGTGAAAAGAATCAGTTTGCCCATCACTACACCTGGTGACATACAGTATTTGTATAGCATTGTGTGTAATGTTTGTGTGTGTGTTTTTTCCCCCAGAGGGATCCGTGTGGGTTACACCCCTGATGTTCTGACCGATGCTGTGGCTGAGCTGACTGTCGCTCTGCTCCTCGCTACCTCCAGGAGGCTCATAGAGGCCACACATGAAGCCAAGACGTAATGTTACACACACACACACACACACATACACACAAACCCAAAGCTATCCATGCATGCAATAACAAAATATCTGTCCCTTGTGTCAGTGGTGGCTGGGGTACATGGAGAACTCTGTGGCTGTGTGGACACGAGCTGGCCAACAGCACTGTGGGTATCTTTGGCCTGGGGAGGATTGGTGAGCAACCGAAACACTACGTACAACATCTACATTAGCTTATCGTCCAACATCCATTTCTGTAAATCAGATACTCTTTACCTGCTGTCTTTGTGCTCTAAGGTGTGGCAATCGCTGAGCGTCTAGCACCTTTCAAAGTAAAGAAGTTCATCTACACAGACGTGGCCCCCAGGCCTGAGCTGGCCAGTGCCATCAATGCAGAATATGGTAAGGACTATAGATTCATGGTCACTACGATGTCTCATGCCAGCATTTTATTTTGATATAAGGTGGAGGGTGGAGTGGTTTAATAGAGATTTACTATACGACTAGTCAAAGAGACCTACGTCCTGTTTTCAGAGATACTCAATATTCTGATCTGTTTGTTTTTTTTAAGGAAATGAGATTGAATATAATGAGAATTTGCAGTCAGCCTTTTGATTGTAATGTGAAAACATCACTGGCACTGTCTCTTGGTCTAGTCTCTTTCGACGAGCTGGCAAAGCAGTCAGATTTCCTGGCTGTGTGCTGCGCTTTAACACCAGAAACAAAGGAGATCTGCAACAAGAACCTCTTCTCCAAGATGAAAAATACCTCCATCTTTATCAACACAAGCAGGTACTCTTATCCTAAACACAAACTGATTCTCTTTAACACATATTGTACACAATGCCAGGTAATGAAATACTTGACTAATAAAAGTGTGTTTCCCCAAAGCCTCAGTTAATATACTTAAATGTCTTGTTTAATCGCCCAAAACCTGGCGACATTAAAGGGACAGTTCACCTCAAAATCAAAAATACATATTTCTCCTCTTACCTGTGGTGCTATTTATCAGGCTTGAGTGGTTTGGTGTGAGTTGCTGAGTGTTGGAGATTTCGGCCGTAGAGATGTCTGCTTTCTTTCCAATATGGATGATAACCATGATGAGCAACATAGTCCTCAGACCTTGTTATAGGCAGTTTCACGTAGGTATTGTTCTTTCTACCAAACTTCACCCACCAACAGTGCTGGGCAAGTTACTCTCAACATGTAATACATTACATATTACTAGTTACCCTCATTTGAAAGTAGTTACTTTACAATATTACTCTATAACACTACTTTTACATTACTTTAACCAAAATGACCTCAGAAAAACAATTAGGCATTACAAAGGGAGGAGGGTAATGTTGTTTCACGTGGATGGCAAATGTAATACTAGTACCCAAAATCCTGTTGGTAAGGTGTTATATTACTTCATTACTGCTAAAGGCCTTTGCACAATGAGTCCGTTTGTTTTGGTCTGAAATTGTTGCATGCCTAAAAAGTCTGAGTACGTAAATTTCATCCATCATTAAAATTTTCAGAACAGCTTAGATTTTCCATGTTTTTTGTATCTGTCAGAATCCTTCAGACAGCAGTTTGACTAAGAATCAGTGAAGAAAATGTGGCGGCGGGACACAGCTGCGACAAAACAGAGGAATGGGTCACACAGTATTCTTCCATTACTCATATAACTACTTTCAACAGGTCAGATAGTAATATTTAGGTGAATGATGATGACGAGAAGGAGGATGTGGACAGCACACAGTATGTGGAGGACTGAGAGGGAGAACAGCCCCGCCCCTTCATGCAACTGCGGTACCAAATGAATGACAGGGATGGAGTAATGACAGCCAGATAGGTAACTCCAGTGGAGAGAAGCAAAGGAGGAAATGTGTCTTTTAATTTTGTCATGTATTATGAATTTTGTAATGCATTACCCCAAAAACTGCCCACCAACCATATCACCATGGAGAAGGAAGCGTACATCTACTCATGAACAAGACGCTCGTGCCATGACAGCACAAGATTTAAATATTAATGGTGCCCTCCTCAGCTGAGGTGTAAGATTAGTTGACAGGTGTGGCTCAGTAGAAGGAAAATAGTTCCCACATGAAACTGCTCTTGAGTAAGCGGGTTAATGATTTATGGAAAGAGACATTGCTGTTGAGCTATTCAAGTGTATTGTTTTCGCGCTTTAAGCACCACAAGCTGAGTGCCGTCTAGTTACATTATATTTGAAAGACAGCAAACATCTCTTCAGCCGATAGGTCCACCACTCAGTGACTCACACTAAAACAGTCTAGACTGATAAATAGCACTACAGGTAAGAGGAAAACCATTTGATTTTGGGGTGAACTTTTACTTTAAGTTGCCCATCAAATATTCACATTTGAGATAGTGGAACCAAATCAGTATTTGAATTTTTGCTTTAAAGACTCCAATGAAGCCATTTATCATAATAATCATATCTTCAGTTAGCAGGCTAATCTGGCCATGACTACAGTATCTGTGCTTCTCCTGTCTTTAATTCTGGTCTTTCTGTTATATCAGAGGTGGTGTGGTGAACCAGGAAGACCTGTATGAGGCTCTGTCCACTGGACAGATTGCAGGAGCTGGGTTAGATGTCACTGTTCCCGAGCCCCTGCCCACAAACCACCCACTCTTTACCCTCAAAAACTGCGGTGAGTATTAGTGCTCAAACTACTGCTGCTTTTTTAAAAAAAGTAACACTAACACTTTATCACAGCGCTAATTTCTCATGGCCTATCATTTGTCTTTTCAATTCTCTCCACCCACAGTGATTCTCCCACATATTGCTAGTGCCTCTTATACCACCCGTAATGGCATGTCTGCTCTGGCGGCAAACAACCTCCTCCTCGGTCTGCGGGGGGAGCCGATGATCAAAGGACTCAAACTGTAACTAGTGAATGCTGGGACATCCGTATATAGTTATTCTTAATAAAATTAAAATAAAACTATGACTTCATATGTGTGGAATGATATGCTTCCTTATTTGTTTACATTTTAATCTTCAGTTCTTTTAGAACTTCAGTACTGATTCAGCTCATATTTCATAAAAATGTCGCAGCAACAAAGCAGAATGTCACTGTTTTTTTATTCAGTCTATACAACAACTGAACATACTGTACAATCTTCATAGCCTTCAACAGTAAAGAGACAAACACTTAGTCCTCTCATGGTTACACTATGTTAGGTATACAGAAAAAACACAGAGATACTTCAGATTTGGCATATCAACAAAGCCCGGCTTTTCAAGCTAGAGGGCATAAGGCAGTGACGTTCGTAATCAATTTAGGCCTTCTGTATATCGTAAAGGTTTGGCATTTCATACAGGGGAAATACGGTCAGTGCATTTTCAGAGATTCACATTAACTGTTTTTGCAACAGCTGTAGAAGACAGCACCTTGATAGTCCTCAACAGGGCACTGTGTGGAGGCCATTTTGGAGGACTACTCCTCTTCTTCACCTCATCACCTCTACAACTCTGTACTTCTCAAGAGCATCTCCCTCTTTCCAGAATGCGGAGGAGGCTTAACGTGAGTGAGGAACACAGACGAACAGATTTGAGATTTAGCCGTGAGTGATCATTTTAAATTCTGTGGCCAGGCTTCAACATTGCTACTGACTCCATGGTGTCAAGAATGACAGGGTCATTTAACAGTGAGTTAGCTCGTGTTTACAGGGAGAAGCATCCTACAAGGCAATTATTCTTCTGAAGTGAAAAGCCAAGATTATCCATTAACTTATGTGTCAAATAAAATGATTACAGGCTAACAGTGTCTTGACTCTACAGTACAATAAGGTGCCGACTAGAAATGGAAGCAATGACCACGTGGTTCTCACTGACAGTGTAGGTGACACGATACAGCAAGAAATAAAGTACACAAAAAGTCAAACATGTATTGTACTTTTTCATTTTGGTTCACTAAAACAGAACTCTACAACAATGCATGAACACTGATTTCAATTAACCATCTGTTTACCAATGAAGCTCTTATTTACAACACGCAGGGAGTCAGGCATCTGAGCCTGGATTGATGTAGAAATCCTTTATAGTATGCTATTTTATGAGCTGCAAATTTGGATTCCTTCGCAGTGTGTCTGTGATGTTTTTCAATTTTATGCAAATCGTCAATTGAAACACAGTTGTCAAACTTACAGTACATGACAGAAAGTTACAGGTAGACATTAAAATACAGTTACATATATAAAAAACTGCTAAAAAAATTAATATTTAAAAAAATGACAGGAGACCCTGTAAAATCTTTTCTGAATTTTCCCCCATGTGTATTTGCGGAATTGGAAATTGAGTGTTACTCCTGCCAGCAAATATGCTACAATCTTTAGCTTGCAAACTCATCCTGATGACAGTGTAAAGAAGGGGAAAACCCATAAGGGCTTGTACGGTTGGATAATTGCAATACAGCAATGTTTTTACATTTTCACATAGTTCAACATTCCAGTAAATGTATTAGTTATAAAAACAGGATGATCTGTCTAAGTGCTTTTGTAACAGATGCAACATTAGCTGTATAAAGAGACATGTATAAAGCACTGATATCGAGTACAGTAGCAAACATATACACAATGCTTAGTTCTTCAGGAGTTGTTTCGTCTCTCCTCCAAGAGAAAAATGATGAAACCAACCACAAATGTGTGATATTTACATTTCTAAAGCACTTTTCAAACCGTGCTGAACCTCAGCAAACTGTCTGCTTCAGACGACTGTGCCTTTCAGCACAACTTCATTGCCCTTTTAATAAAACACACATATTGAACTCACAGGAACACCAGCGACAAGGGAACCTGATGTCAGCACACTTGTTGACCACAGCTGAAATGATGTGGCCGTATCCAGTCAGTGACCAATAAGGAGGGAAAGTAGCTGAATGCCATATTTTATACAACTGGAGTTTCGCACATCATGAGACAAAATAAGGTGCATTTACAGCGCATGTTCCTGTGAAGATATCTAAGTATTAAAATGGCATTATAATGCAGTAGTATATCAATAGTACTTTTTTTAAAAAAGAGACTACAAGGCCCATGAATGCAGATTTGTTTCCAGCTTTTAGTACAAAGATGGTGCAAGGTGAAACTTTTCTCTCCTTCACTGCTCGCCATAACAATGGGACTTAATATTAAGGTTAAAATAATGCTGCAGAGATGATTTTTTTTAATAGGCCAACCTGGACATTGACATTGCCCTGGTTCCCTCAACAGAAAGCAAATGGGATTTTCCACTGGATCTTGGATTACTGCAGAAAATAACCTCTGTGGCAAAACAAAAAAGATATTTGAATGATATCTGAATGTTTTGTTTAGCAAGATATTCTTCTGTATCCACCACGGCAAGGCTGTGAAGTCATTTTCATCATGACACACTGTGGTCTCATTGAGCCATCACTTTTTTAAGACACATAGAAGCTTCAAAATTCATGTGTTGGGTATTTACTAATGTATTTTATATTTGAAAGTCTCTTGAGCTTGTGTTAACCACAGACGATATTTCAGGCATCTAACCAAATACCAGTTCAAAAAGCCCATTTCCTTCTAGATGAGGAAACAGGAAGTGCAAAAAGTGCTGACTCATTTCCAGGTTTTAGGACTCATTCCTGCAGCACTTTGTAGCTCTACCTGGCAAGCCCAAATTTTGGGAAGAGGTTGATCACAGCAACTCAAAGTTTACCATTCCTCCAAAACTTGAACCTGTCAAACTACATGTATAAATGTTTGTAGTCACAGGAAGTGTGAAGGTTCCATCAGTGCAAAGTGACTCAGGGCTAGGGTTGTGGTCTAACCCTGACCCTGACCCTTATTCTCAACTTTAACTGTGCTCAGAAACACTTCTGATCATGCTCGTCAAAGGTGCTTGGACTGAAAGGCAACTAGAGGTAAAAAATTTGACTTGACTCTGTCGCTGCGTATGCATGACTGTCCGTTATAACCTACTTAGAAATGTTGAACTGTTTTTTGGGGGGAGGGGCTATGCCTGTCGTAGGCGACAATGTTTATCACTTCAAATTTCATCACTTCAGTCAATAAAAAAATCTGGTTTATATCACTTGTCCATTTTCACTGCATACCAATAGGGTAAAAAAAATCAAGTACAACAATTGAATCTCTGTCTGCTTCTCTGTTAGCTGAACTTGCAAAAAGTGACAGATTTCAGCATTACCTCAGCCCGCCTTACAGGACTTCATCTGACTCTACCCACCTTTCTGTAGGGTGGAGCATCAAGACCACACAACCACTTACAGACATTATATGTGGCACCTGAACTGCATCTGAATCAGTTAGTCTACAGTCTATATGTGCCCTTGCACAGAAAAAGACATAGTCAATACACAAGATTACAATGACTCAACAGTCTAATGTGGGATGCTGCTACATGTTTCACAGATGTGCGATGAAAACCCTACACATAAACACACTATTATACATGATATTTGTTCTAAATGTTGGTGCTGCTCAGCTGCCAGAGAGTGTTAGTATGTCAAATATGCTCCAGTAAGTATACCACTAACTACAGATGTTCAGCATCAAGGGATCACTTCACCAGATCTAAATTTCACTGAACAAGAGAGCCCGTATGATGCCTTTTAAAAAGACAACATAGCCTACACTGGCTCGGATCTTATTATGCAAGGTTCATGAGTTGCAAGGAAACTGGTATATCCTCATAATACACTCATGATTACAACGGGACAGTATGCAGTATATATCTGTAGTTCTCTCTATGATGAATCCATAACAACGAATGTGGTAGCTTTGCATGTCAATAACTTCGGCCGAGTTAACATTGTGGGTTTCTCCTGGAAAATAAGATGCATGATGAGAGATCCCTATCTTTGGTCTGTCATCAGGACAGAACAGCTGATCAGATCCTGCTGCTCTGTCACAACTTCAGAAAAATTTCTGACTTTAAATTCAGCCCATCGCTGATTCCTAATGTATTCAATCTGTCGCCCTGCTCCACTATGATGCGGTGACCTCAGGCCTTACAGCAGAGCATTGGACATGTTACTGTTCTGCCAGCGCAAACAGGTGGTCTTGGAATGCTTGTACAGGTGGGAGGACTGGCTAAAGCGCTTTCCACACTTGAGACATGCGTAGGGTTTCTCTCCTGTGTGGACGCGGATGTGTTTCTTACAGTCGGTCAGGGTGAGGAAGGTTTTGCAGCAGATTTTACAGGCATATTTCCGATCTCCCTCCACCACCAAGACGTTGTGCTCCGACAGAGCCTTCTTGCACTTGGACAGGACGTCTGCTGAAGCGCGGGTCAGCTGTGGGGGGAGGGAGGTGGGCCTGCTGTTGTTCATCTCATATCCACCGCTCTTGTTTAGAAGCAGAGGATTTGACAGACTCGAGGAGGAGGAAGAGGCGGCATCCTGGAGAACACCACCTTCTTCTCCTCCCATGCCGGTGGTCATTTTTGGAGCAATACGTCTGTAACCTGGGTACCCAAGAGCAGCGGCAGTGGCTCCCCCTGCTCCTCGCGTTGGTCTCCCCATGGAGTGAAGCCCAAGACTGGAGCGCTGAAAGTCCAAACCAAAAGGATCTACCCCACCATGCCCTCCGCCCCCACCTCCCCCATTTCCCCTAGGGTTCCCTAAACCATCATGGAGTGGGCGGAGGAATAGGGAATCAGCTTGTAGGTTGTCTCCAAAACTGTTGCGACTCTCGCTGCCGCGTGGGCTTGACTTCAGAAGAGAGGAAGTAGCAGAGCCAGATGGCCCAGCAGCTTCCTGTCTGAGCAGGAAGTGATGTCCAGCTGAATCGCCAGTTGTTGTGTTGGGGAGGTCATCCTCTCCGGCAACCAACCCTGCCCCACTTCTGAAATCCTTCGGGCTGAGGAAGCTAGAAATACTAAAACCAGGTTTGCCACCCAGTCCGCTACTACACCCAAAACCTCCTCCAACTCCGGCGCCTCCTCCCATGGTGCTCTTCAGGAGTAGCTGGGAGCTGGGCTGCAACAGGGAGTCGGAGCTGGGTTGGGGTTCAGAGGTGAAGCTGTGGTCACTGCTCTCTGGGCTCAGCTCTGCTTTCTCCTCCTCCTCCCGGCCTCCTGGCTCTGCTGGGTCACTGCCTTCAGCCTGCGATGTCACATCACTGATTTCATCAGTCGGCTCCGGCGAACTGAGCGGCTCACATTTTACCACCACCTATGTAAAGCAAAGGTGGAGTTTCATCTCAGGCTAAAGGAGATTTAGACAATAGGTAAAGTAGAGCAGCATGATTTGCACGTGCATATGTGTTAAATACTTTTGTGACTGTCAATTAGCCTCAACTTGTACAGAGCAATATGTTCTTTAATAAAACATACAAGTGATTTAAGAAAATATTTCGCAAAACAGCTTCCAAATAGTGTTAAATCCAAACATGTTTTTTTTTTTTTGGTTCAAGAGGTTTGCATTATGATTTAAAAGGATACTTCAGATCTTTTGAAGAGGGGTTGTATTAGGTACTTATCCATAACCAGTGTATTACCTATATTAGGTGGCAGCTGGCACGCCCCCAGTTTAGAGAAGCAGGCAAGAGTACGGACATGGAAGTTTAACAACATACTGCTGTGGAGAAGTCAGCAACAAAACCTATTTTAGTTACCTAAAACGAGTCCCACCTACAAAAATCAATATCAGTTTAAGTGAACATGGTATTTAATATGTTTTCAATATGACAGGGATTTCTGGCATCATTTCAAGTACTGATTGTGAAAAATAAACCATTATAATAACCATTACCATAGTCCAGTCAGTGGGAAAATACTTGCTTGATTTATGAATTATAATACATTAATCTAAATAAATGTGCAGTTTAAACATGTTACAAAATTAATACTCTGTTCACCATATCATCATCACGTCTTGCTGATTTATTGAGAGGTTTAAGGGCATTTTTATTTTAAGATTATATGGAGGAAAATTCTCACACTGTGACAGCTGCCTCAGGGTTTTAACATAAGCCTGTGTTGCACCCAGCAGTGTGCCATAACCTACATTCAGCTGTACTATTACCCATCTCCTTGAATCACTTCATGTCAAACCTTTTCTGTTACAGTGCGGAGCTGCTGTGTTGACACATAATTGGCAACTACATTAATAGTATCATACAGCTGCCAGCTACCTATTATGTTCTAACTGTTTCATGTCCCATAATGTAAGTACTGACACCGCTCAGTTTGGTAGATTTTTGTTTATTTTCTGCTGATTTCCAACAGCAGGACTTAAATCTATGCAGTGTGTAACTCTTTGTTTTTAACTCTTGTGTGGCTTGTAGCCTTATGTATAGCAATTTATGGGCATACACTATGCTAATAATCAATTCTCACATATACACACCTGCTTACTAACGGATGGCATTAATCAGGTTAAAATAGGGGATTTATGAAAACAAGTTTGTGCAGTTAAGAGAGTTTGCTAAATTTAACTTGGAACACACGTACCTCACCAAAAAAATGAGAGATTTACGATACAATAAAAAGAAATCTTGTTGCATGAGGCTTAATGAGAGTTACTGTGTCACCACAACAAAAACATGAAGCCACATCTTTACCTTCTGTTCCTGTTCTTCTGCCTCCTCCTCCTCTTCTCCAGATTTGATTTTCACCCCTGCTCTGTTGACCTGGTGTTCCTGGTGTTCCTGGTCTTCCATGTCCTCCTCCTTCCTCACCCCTCCCTGCATTCTCCCCAAGTCCTCCCCTTCACAATGTCCACTGTCTGACTGGCTGGGCATTTGAGGATCATCTTGGGACACCCCTACCAGGCCAGTGATTGCAGCATCCAATTTGGATTCATCCCCCATCTTGTGGGAGTCTGGGGAGAGCAGTGCTCCTTCTTCTCGCTCTGCGTTCACTGCTTCTTCTCCTAACAGCCCCAGGTTAGGGGCAGAGGGGCGCTGCCTCTGCCTGGGTCTCTCTTCTGACAGCCCTAAGGCCAAAGAGGGCTTACGCTTGTGGAAGCGTCGGATTGGGAAGGAGGCTCTCTGTTCGACCACTCTGCCGCCACCTCCATTTCCAACTCCGTCCTCCTCCATCCCGCCCAAAGCAGAGCTCACCAAGCTGAGCCCCAGCTGCTGCAGGAGGAAGGAGCGCTGCAACTTTGATGTGGCAGCGTTGGCCGCGAGGTTAGCATTAGCTGCTAGAGTAGGGTTCACTGTCAAATCTGCGACTTGTTGCTGCTGCTGCTGCTGCTGCTGCTGCCTGTGCCTCTGCTGCTCCAGCTGAGGGTGGTGATGGGTCGGTCTGTCGGATGAGGGGGACATAGGCAGGGTGCGCGTGGTCAGGTAGTGTTTGCAGGCCTTGACTACATTGTTGAGGTGCAGGTGTGAGGCTGCGAGGAGGATATCCATGACGTTGCTCTCCCCCAGCATCAGTGTTGAGGTGTACATCATGTCCACCAAAGCTGCAAACGCTTCAGCTGTCACCACCTGCAAGTTCACAGGAAGCTGATTGATCTTGCTGCCATGACTTAAAACAGCAGCATCACAGAGTTTCAAAGGGATAGTTCTGTTTTTTGAAGTGGGGCTGTATAGGGTACTTATTCATAGTCAGTGTACAACATACAGTAGTTGTCAGTTGGCAGCCACCCAGTTTGAAGAAGCTGGCAAAAGTATTGACAAGGAAGCTGAGCAATTTACTGCTGTGGATGGAGGCAGCAACAAAACATATTTTAGCCACCTAAAAATATCTGTAACAGTTTAAGTTTACACTATATTGAGACTATTTTCACAGCTTTACTTTTCTGTCAGGCAGCCAAATCCAATGGGGATGGCCGACTGACATCTAATGTATGTAATACACTGTCTATGGATAAGTACTTCAAACAACCCCACTTTAAAAGATTGGTACTTTATCTTTAAAATAAATAATTTTAACTGAAATACGCTCACTGCACTTATCATCTGAAGTGGGAGAGTCACTCCCTCCTTAACTCCCACTGTTGATAACCATCATTGAATATCATCATTCTTGCCCTCTTTTACACAATACTGTTAAGTTTCTCACCTCGCTGTCCAACTGGATCATGTTCATGCTTGCATCTCCCTCTGCGACCGTGAACAGGGCTCTGAAGTGGGTGCTGCAGGCTGCCAGCACCGAGCGGTGGGCCTTGAAGTGTCTGCTGCCCACCACGATGACGCAGTCCCACAGCTGACCGTGGACACGCTGATAGTTGAGCTGCTGGAAGATCTGCTCGAAGTGGCCCGGGAAATCCATGGCCCTAAAGACAGGGGCAGGCAAAGGTTAGAGGTGGCTGAACAGGGAGAGAGAAAAAAATCATACGTCGTAAAGCTGAAGCCATTAGTCAATGGACATAACATTTATCCATAACTGTTTTGATATCTTTTAAGTCATTTGTAAATGGACAATGACAAACATCTTTAACACTCCAAAGTTAAGTCAAGGAATCGCTGTGAAGATGGCCATGCTGGTTCTCCCTCGCCAAAATTTAGCCTCTCACCTGAGGATATCTGAATGAAAATCAAGTCGAACCTTTACAGATATGTCCACTGTATGCTTATCCCATGCAGTTTAGGGCAAAAATCATGCAGCTCTTTGCATGCAGTACAGATGTTTTATTTTGGCCTAATGTATTTGAATATGTCTGCATACTGGGGTCCATAAACAGTCTCAGAAATGCATAAATTGGGTATGACTAAATAGCTGAAACCCTTGTGGATTCAGTAAGCCCAAATTTATTCATATATAACCATGTTAGCCCCCACAGCAGCTATTTCATTATAGTGAGACCATTTTTAGCAACAGATATCACTGTATAAAATGACCTATAGTGACCTCTAGGATAATCACAGCTTCATTAAGCTGTATAGCCACAAACTAGAGATGTTGAGCATTCATAGGATAGATGGCTTTCATAGGTATATCAACAATAAGGGGGTGTCCCAGCAGTTTGCCAGAATATAAGTGCTTACCATCTCCTTGGAGAAAAAACATGCAAATCTTACAGAAATCTCCAAATATCAACAGTTTTTGATGCCAAATCACAGCATGGATTTTTCTCTGGTGTTCCTCAGGGTCTTGGTGTGTTATTGCGATACTTTGGGTGGATTTTGACAATTTATATCAACTCTCAAGTGGTCAAATATGCTTAAATACAGCAACATATTTGTGTAACAAATGGTATCAACCCAAAAATTGCTCTAACAATTTACCTTTGAAAAAGCACCTATATAATGATTACTACAGAGTTAGGACTAGAACAACCTGACACACAGTGCTTCGCTGCATCTCAAACTAATCTTCAGGTCCCCAGCTTTCAGATGATGTATACCCCCACTAAAAGACAAAAATGTGTCTATGGTGGGTCTCAGAGGGTTAATCCTCGGATTAACTGACTAACGAAAACATGATTTACAGAGTGCACAAATGATGGAAGCCTAAAGGACAGTATGTGCAGTATAGATGGAAGTACATGTGGGTTTTGAGGAAGGTTTTACACAGATACAGAGGGTTTATATGCCAGTTTTGTTTGAGAAGCTGTTGATAATGTTATCTGGGCACTGTTACAAAATAACTAAACCGAGGCATTATTCTGTGGTCCGACAGATTAAGATGGCCTTCAACAAATTCCAGTGAGAATATTAAACAATGGGGACACAAAGCTATGTTTTACAGTTGGTTAAATTCCTTGCTGTTGTTATTTAATATGCTGTGAAATAACTCACACTTTAGTCAGTCCAACTATTTGCTGTTAGCGTTACTAGCGCATTCATAACACAGTAAATTAGCTACAGAGGATAGCGTGCAGCGTCAGATGGGATGGATGTAGCTAACAAGTCCAGTTTGGCTAACACATGACCAGTTAGCTAGTTAAAGTAACTAGCTACGTTACCATAGTGTTCTATTGTTATGAAGGTAAGATAAGAGAGCTAGTATTAACTAGCATTACCTTGAATTTCCCAAAGCGCAGGTGACAAGAGGCAGAAACAAGAGGCCCTGACCACAGACTGACAAGGCTAAAGTTAGCTGGCTGCTGACCAGCAAATTAACGTAGCTACAACAGATACAGTAGCATACGGTCAGCTGTCCGCACCGCTCGTTTATATCGAAGCAGCTTTTTCCCCCATTAAATGTAACAAAAGCTGGCTAACATTTCTCCTGCTACATCCCACACGTCCCCTGCGGTCCCACTACCTGACACTTTGCTCGCATTGAATGGTTTGTCTGTGGGGGCGAGAGCTGCCACTGATGTGCGACTCGCGGTGACCGTTTGTCTCGAGTAAGCTGTCTGTCAGGGTCACCCCCCAGTCACCGTCAGATAAACAACTACCGTCAATAAAGCATACAACGAGTGCCAGTCGTTATCCGGGTCCGATACGCTTGTTATAATCTGCAATCATTGATTACACTCAGACGGGTTTTCCCAACCAGACTCACAGGGTGGCGCTGTGCTTCACTTCCATACCCGTGACCTCGCCGAGGTGAAGGGTTGCAGTTACACGTTTCACCACAGGGTGTCGCTGTTGCAGCTTCAGAGCCAAAGATTACAGCGAGTGTTCACCCTCTGAGTTCACCCTGAGGAAAAATACTACTCTCTTCCCATGTGGGTTAAGCATTTATTTTATAATTGATCAACTAAGTTTAAGACGGAATTTATTGCCCTCTTCCTTACATTAGTCTATATATCAGTCTATATTAATGCACATCTTAATAGGGACCAATTCATTGTGTGTGAAAATAAACCAGATTTTGATTAAAGGCAATTTCACATAGGCCTACACAAAATAAATGTTTTAAGACTTCTCTCATATAAATATATATGATATGTAGATTATTGCAGACTAAAAACAAACAACAAAGTATGTATATAATTGTGTTCAGAGTTTTTGTTTAATTTGTTGTCTGGTAAATCTGCTGAATAATAGGATTCTATTCATTTGTTTTACCCCGTTCACCTTAAGGTGTGTCCCCTAAACATTTACAATAATGCAGTTTCCATTCTTTGTCTTCTTCTCCTTATTATTATCATATTACTTTTGTTTATTTACTATATTTTACATGATTTGGAATAAGGCTTGCATGTAATGCATGTTGATCTAGCTGCTGAATTATGTTTGTAGATACATTTCAATAAAAAAACAGCTTTAGTATGAATACTAGCATTTGTATCATGAATCATAATGCAATGGCAATTACAAAGAGATCAAAGAAAATCAAATAACATAAATTATATTAGAGTTCATATAACAACAGTAAGGTGATAAGGTTTATTTAGTTGTCATTTTACAACACATGGTTGCATAAAGAAATGTAAGTTAATGCCCCTTGATCCTAAACACACATATACAAACACACCTATATAAAATATTTAAATTGAATAGAATTAAATGAAATAATACGGTTACTTATATATAAATCCTCACTGAATTATAATGTACAACTGTTTAAAAATATATTACTCATAGTAATAATGTACTTAAGTTAGCACTGAGGAACACATTCCGTATCGGTTTTCAATGAGTCATTGTATCTTGGCCTGAACGAGACTCTTGACGAACACGGAAGTACAAAGGAGTGAAGCGAACACGGAAGTACAGAGGAGTGAAGCCTCTTGCGTCAAACTCATGACAACAACCATGGCTGCCTCCTGCTCGTTGGTGTGTTGTGAACAGGACAAGGAGTCCGACAAAGCAGCTATAGGTGACTGTCTCACATTTGTTGGCTATGAAAACCTTTTAGAAGAATATTTTCATTGTACTTGTGTCAGGAAATTTTAGGTCGTGCTCAGTTTCTCTGTTTTAAACACTTGTTTGCACTGCACACGTGGGTGCTAGCAACAGAGCTAGCTGTTCAGTGTTGTGCCTGACGTTAAATATCTCAGGAGGGGAAACGGCGTGAGTATAACGTTATACATGACTTTGGTTTATCTTTTTTTCACAGTCCGCTTCTCAAACGGCAGCGTGAAAAATGCAGGCAAACTGGACATAACCATGTACAAGAACACAGATGAGAGTAACCCCAGAAAGAAGAGCAGACGGATAATGGTGAGAAAGATAGCGGACTGCATTCATCCTCAGCACTATGTATTGTCACTGTACCTTACATCCAGAAGACTCTTTCAGGTTGTGCAGCTCTACTTGAAGCTCTTTGATGACTGCTTTGCTTCTGTTTTGTCTGTCCAGGTTGCTGAAACAAACAGACTGTCCTATGTTGGGAATAATTTTGGGGCGGGGTCCATGAGATGCAACAGCCTTTGCAAGTAGGTTTAAGTAGCTTCTTTTTAGATGTGTGACTTCTGCACAACTGCCACTGTGGAGAGAAGTATTGAGTGTGATGTTTGGTATCTGTTCAGATATTATGTCGGAGTGCTGAACAGACAGACAATGCAAATGGAGGTGCACAGTGCTCAGATCTTCAACATGCAGCCTGCTATACCAGGAGAGACAACAGAGGCTGCGAAGCCCCAGGACACTACTCAGACTTACAGAGAGAAGGTACGATGATTTGATCTGGCCTGTTTTCCTCATCACAAGACAAGAATGGGCTCAGATAAGAATGAAGTTGGCACTAATGTCTTACTGTAACATTTTGTTTTTAGGTTGACTCATTGATTGAGGCGTTTGGCACCAACAAACAGAAGAGAGCTCTGAGCTCCCGCAGGCTGAATCAGGTGGGCAGTGATACCCTGCATCAAGCAGTGGCTAAGGCTGCCACCAACGTGATCGACCAGAAGGGTCTGGAAGGTAAGTTACATGCAGTTACGGAGACTGGAGTCAGTGGTGAATGTCTGCCAGGGGCGTAAAGTGGGGGGCCAGTGGCCCCTTCCCTACTTTCAACGCACTTGCTCAGACAATACCTATCTTTGAATTCAGCCTTTACAGAGTACTGTTCTTGTGTCAATTTGTTTATCATATTTATCTTGTCTTTTCCCCTCAGCTCTACAACAGGAAGTGGCTGAGACAGAGGCCCAGGGAGACCTGGCTCTCCATCTGCCTCCCTGCAATGCAAACGCTGACAAACCTGAGAACGTCTACCTATTTGACGATCGTATCCTTCATTTTGTGTGTGTGTGTTTTTGTTAATAATGGGATGCGAAAACTGTAGATGGCGGAACAGATAATGTAGTTGGAGGTGTAAGGTTGCAACAGAGTAGTTTTTTTCATATCTCCATCCTTAATTAATATCCACAGTCCTGAGTCCTGTGGAGTTTGGGGCTTTGGAACAGGCTGGTTCCAAGATGGCTGCACTCACCTCTGAGGAGCTGCAGAAGATGAGAGATGATGGAGGGTAGGGTGATAAAGGACTCATGGTCACTGAGACATTTACATTTTGTGTCTTTGCATTCTCACTTTTATTTCTACTTTTCCTTTTTATGTAAGGTGCTTGTGTGTTGTAAAGCTCCTGGAGAACATGCCAACTGCCGTGGAAGAAGCCAGAGATAAAACAGCACGCTGTGCCTTTTACCTTTCTATGCTCCTCAAACTGGCACGGCAGAAGAACATCACCCGCAAGTGTAAGTCATGTTGTTTGCCTTCATCATAAATTTATTAAAAATGTTCCTACATACATCTCTGCAGCACAGACTCATTGCGACTTATGTTTCCATGTACAGTTGGGCAGGAGGAAGGCTGTCCTCGCATCATTCAGAGCAAGCTGCTCAAAACATTCACCATGGAGACTTTTAACAATGGCAGGTATGATGGAACTTTTACATGTTTTTTTATCTAGTAAAGTATCTGCAGGGACAGCATCAGCTTTTATATAATAAGCGCCATGTGGACATGTAATACATAACCACTAGGATGTGCCTTGAATTTAATTTGAGTTAAATTTGCAACTTATTTATTTAAAATCCATTGAAATCACTTTTCACTTTCCATGCCATATCTCAGATTACTATGAACAAAAGTAGCTATACATTTGTCTCTTACACTGTTTTGCACCACTTTAACACCTGGATATACACTGCCTGGCCAAAAAAAAAGTCACCACCAAAAAAAAAAGGTCATACACTCTAATAATTCGTTGGACCGCCTTTAGCTTTGATTACGGCACGCATTCGCTGTGGCATTGTTTCGATAAGCTTCTGCAATGTCACAAGATTTATTTCCATCCAGTGTTACATTAATTTTTCACCAAGATCTTGCATTGATGATGGTAGAGTCTGACCGCTGCGCAAAGCCTTCTCCAGCACATCCCAAAGATTCTCAATGGGGTTAAGGTCTGGACTCTGTGGTGGCCAATCCATGTGTGAAAATGATGTCTCATGCTCCCTGAGCCAGTCTTTCACAATTTGAGGCCGATGAATCCTGGCATTGTCATCTTGGAATATGCCCGTGCCATCAGGGAAGAAAAAATCCATTGATGGAATAACCTGGTCATTCAGTATATTCAGGTAGTCAGCTGACCTCATTCTTTGAGCACATACTGTTGCTGAACCTAGACCTGACCAACTGCAGCAACCCCAGATCATAACACTGCCCCCACAGGCTTGTACAGTAGGCACTAGGCATGATGGGTGCATCACTTCATCTGCCTCTCTTCTTACCCTGATGCGCCCATCACTCTGGAACAGGGTAAATCTGGACTCATCAGACCACATGACCTTCTTCCATTGCTTCAGAGTCCAATCTTTATGCTCCCTAGCAAATTGAAGCCTTTTTTTCCGGTTAGCCTTACTGATTAGTGGTTTTCTTAAGGCTACACAGCTGTTCAGTCCCAATCCCTTGAGTTCCCTTCGCATTGTGCGTGTGGAAATGCTCTTACTCTCACTATTAAACATAGCCCTGAGTTCTACTGTTGTTTTTCTTCAATTTGATCTCAACAAACGTTTAAGTGATCGCCGATCACGATCATTGAGGATTTTTTTCCGGCCACATTTCTTCCTCGAAGACAATGGGTCCCCACTATCCTTCCAGTTTTTAATAATGCGTTGGACAGTTCTTAACCCAATTTTAGTAGTTTCTGCAATCTCCTTAGATGTTTTCTCTGCTTGATGCATGCCAATGATTTGACCCTTCTCAAACAGACTAACATCTTTTCCACGACCACGGGATGTGTCTTTCGACATGGTTGTTTAGGAAATGAGAAGCAACTCATTGCACCAGTTGGGGTTAAATAACTTGTTGCCAGCTGAAAGATAATCGCCCATGCAGTAATCATCCAATAGGAGGCTCGTACCTATTTGCTTAGTTAAATCCAGGTGGCGACTTTTTTTTTGGCCAGGCAGCGTATTTGTTTTCTACAAACACACTGTACACATACTGTAGGTTTACCAATATATTTGTGTGTATTTGTTGCACAGATTTTATTAAAAATACATTTTCTCTGGATTGGCTTCTCAGTCTTTCATATAAATGCACAGAAATGTCACTTTATCACCTTCACCTTGTCCTTTTAGGGTCCAGAACATGGTGTCAGCATCAATGCGTGCCAAATTAGCAGCTTACTCTCTGGCCCTGCTGTTGCATATGAGTCACATGACTGCTGACCTCACATTACTGCACCGTGACCTGGGAATCACTGAGGCCAGGTAAGATAATAAAGGCCAAGTCTGCATTTACTTTTGTAAACTTATGCATGTGCATTGTTTCTTAAATGTGTATCAAATTGTGTTGCAGTATGTTTATACTTCACCTGCACAGTGACCACTTGTATATCAGTTACTCGCTGTGTGTTACTGTGAATTTGTTTCATATCCTTCCACGTCAAACGGAGAATCCAAAAAGGTGAACAATTTTCATAAATTAAGTTAATGGGAACCATGTATAACAATAGTAAAACTATATTGAAACATCTGTTTACAAACTCCCACACGACTCTTGCAGTGTAATCCAAGTCTCATTTATCCAGTCATATGCTTAGCACTTCCCGAACAAATGCATTTTCACTATACATTACTATTTAAAACACATCAGTACAAACAATTTTATGCACGGCAGAGTAGCGTACCTGGACATGTGTGCTGTTCGTAGGTGGAAGTGTTTTATATTGTAAGATTTTAATGAAAATTCAGGGTTTTGGAAGTACTGACCACACAACTGGACTAACAAGACCTGAATTTCACTGCACAAGTTGTGTAAGAATTTATAAACTGATGTTTTGATATAGTGTTGTTGTTGTTAAACATGGTTAACTTCAGTTCATGAAAGATGTTTACCTTTTTTTGGATTCTCTGTTCACTGTGGTGGCGTGTAAATAAAACAAAGTTGTCTTCACAAAGTCACCATAACAGGATGAGTAATTTACATACAAATGGCCATTTTGTGTTTAAGTATTCTTTTAATAAACACAATATTAGTGCTAAATCAGTGATTCTCAACCCAGGGTCCCGGAACCCCCAGGGATCCTTGAGGGAGTTTCAGGGGATTCCTAGAAAATGGGGAATAGTTTATTTTCACTATATTTAATTCACTATAGAAGTGAGCCCAATGTGAACAAGAGTTATCATAAGAGTAACTACTCTGATCATGGGTTTCACTTCCTCCATGGTTATCTTCCTCAACTTAAGTGCAAAGAGCAAAAACAAGCTTTCTAGGATTGTCAACCTTGCAGGGAAAGTGATTGGCAAGTCACAGAAACAACTCAGCAATATATTTGACAGTGCTGTATGCAGGAAGGCCAAACATATAATTGCCCATGCCTCACATCCATTACACTCCAGTCGCAACATATATAGGAAATTCTTTATTCCCTATGCCATACAGGCAATGAACACAGACTGACTGTGTCAGGGAACACTACTGTTTTATAAGTTGCAATCAAAATTATTCAACCCCCATTGCATATTAGGCCTATTGGCAAAATATACAATTTCTCTGCTGTTTGCAATAAACAAATTACACAAGAACTGTTTAAGTAGTTCAATGAAACTAATATTACAAGGGTTTTGATCCAAATTCAACACAAAATGCTACTTTTAATGACTACTGCAGTCTCAAAATTATTCAACCCCTTCATGACAAGCATCTTCAGTACTTAGTAGAGCACCCTTTTGCTGTTACGACCTGCTGCAAACGTGATGCATAGCCAGACACCAGCTTCAGACAGCGTTCCTGAGGAATCTTAGCCCATTCCTCATGGGCAATGGCCTCCAGTTCAGTAATATTCTTGGGTGTGCGTTTTGTAACCACCTTCTTCAAATCCCACCAGAGATTTTCTATGGGGTTCAAGTCAGGCGACTGTGACGGCCACTCTAGAATCTTCCATTTCTTCTTCTCAAACCAAGCCTTGGTGGACTTTGAGGTATGCTTGGGATCATTATCCTTTTGGAAGGTCCAATGATGCCCAAGCTTCAGCTCCGTCACAGACAGCATGACATTTTCACCTAAGATTTCCTGATACTTGACTGAATCCATCGTGCCCTCCACACGCTGCAGGTTTCCAGTGCCAGAGGCAGCAAAGCAGCCCCAGAGCATCACTGAGCCACCACCATGCTTCACTGTAGGCAGGGTGTTCTTTTCAGCATATGCTTAATTCTTCTTCCTCCAGAGTTCCAAGAGTTCCAGTTTTGTTTCATCGCTCCACAAAACAGAATTCCAAAACTTCTGTAGCTTATTTATATGGTTTTGAGCATATTGGAGCCGACTTTTCTTGTGCTTTTGGGTCAGTAGTGGTGTACGTCTTGGAGTCCGGGCATGGAGCCCTTCAGTGTTTAGTATGCGCCTTATTGTACAAACTGAAACCTCAGTGCCTGCTGCCACCAAGTCTTGCTGCAGGTGTTTTGCAGTCACTCGAGGGTTTTTGACGACTTGCCTCCTCAGGAATCTGCTGGCAGCCGCTGATAGTTTCCTCTTTCTGCCACGTCCAGGTAGTGTAGCCACTGTTCCTTTAACTTTGAACTTGTGAACTATGCTTCCAGCTGTATCTCTAGGAACATTCAGAGCTTTTGCTATCGTTTTGTATCCTTTTCCTTGTTTGTGCAAGGCAATGATTTCTTCTCTGAACTTTTTGGACAATTCTTTTGACTTAGCCATATTTCTAACATGCAATCAAACGTCACTCTCAACAAACCCCTAGCCAGTTGATGTATTTATGTGTTCTATCTCAAGCACACCTGAACTAATGAAGCCCTTGATTAGTTGCATCAGGTGTGCTTGAGACAGGGGGTTGAATAATTTTGATTAGTTGCATCAGGTGTGCTTGAGACAGGGGGTTGAATAATTTTGAGACTGCAGTAGTGATTAAAAGTAGCATTTTGCATTGGATTTGGATAAAACCCATGGTAATATTAGTTTTATTAAACTATTTCAACTGTTCTTGTTTACTTTGTTTATTGCAAACAGCTGAAAAATTGTACATTTTGCCAATAAGCCTAATATGCAATGGGGGTTGAATAATTTTGATTCCAACTGTAAGCTGTGCTCTTGTTTACTATTTATACAACTTATTGCTCTTATTTGCCTATTTATACTATTGTAGCATATATATTGTAAAATTGTAAGCTTTTAATCATGTATTGTGTTGTGTTAAGGGAAGCAAAATACAAATTTCCAATGAGGTGGACAATAAAGTTATGTATCTGTCTTTCTGTAGCACACAATTGTAAAATTTCGTTCTGAGGTACATCTAACAACCCAGATCCAAAAGAATCTTATTTAATGGGGTTCTGTCACCTAGTGTGTATCAAATAGGGGTCCTTGACATGAAAAAAGGTTGAGAGTCACTGGTTTAGTAACAGTGGAAGACTGTTTGTTAAGGTCAAAGGTCTTGACTCAGCTGCATGTATTTATGCAAAAAAAAAAAATTGCTTTCTTTCTGCTTGTGGTCATTCATCACATTTTGAGCTGACACATGATCACACCGCATAAAACTGCCACTTTCAATATGCGGTTTAGTAGAGGAAGTCAAGTATAAATGTCACTGAAGTGACTGATCTTTTTGTGTCTTCCTACAGGATGACTGAAGTAGCAAAGTCAATGGGCCTGACCCTAATTAAACCATACCGAGGAAAGGCTGAGGAGGCCGGACTGCAGGACACAAACCGGCAGGCCTCTCTTGTTCTACCTCTGGTCAAATATGATCAGTTCACGGAGCGACGAAAACGCAGGAAAATGCACTGAAGATCAGGATGAGAAAAGTCAGTAATTGGATAGAGAGTAAGGACTATCAGAATTGGAAATGCCACAAACAAGAGCTGTTTATGAATGCATTTTGTAGACAAATAAAGTGGTGGACTTTGACTGGTACATGATATCATTTTTAATGCTTACTGTGCAAGATACAAAAAAAAGCAGTGATGAGCTTTAAACAAATTCTAGATGAAAGAAAACATCTAGCTGATACAGTCAAACGTATAGGCACATTTGTAGACGGCACATATTGCACACTGAGCTTCATTTTTCCTTCTATAATTGGCTATTACCAGGTGAGTCTGTGTGGATGTGTCAGTGTTTAGCATGTTGACAATATCTGGAATGCTAACTTGTCATCCCTCAGTGAATTTCATGAAGTCAAAGAAAGCTGAGGTGCATCCCATGTTAAAAACACACAGGACATGATTCGAAAAACAGACTAACCTGTAAATAGCTCTGTGCAAGAAGCAGAAGCTTAAAGGGATTGTTTGGATATTTTTTAAGTGGGGTTGTAAGAGTTAATTACCCATAGTCAGTGTATTAACCTTCAGTAGATTTCAGTTGGCACACCCCCAGTTTGGAGAAGCAGACAGGAGTGCTGACATAGAAGCTCAGAAATGTACTGCTGTGAACAAGGGCAGCAGAAAAACGCATTTTAGCCACTTAGAAAAATTACCAGTTTAAATGTACGCTACATTGAGAATATTTTCACCGCTTTACCTTGCCTTCAGATAGCCCCCTACCTTTGGCACTACATTTTCTCAGCTGTAAAACTTCCAGGGGATCCAGATTTCACGACTTTTCCAGACCTGGAATATTTTATTATGAAATTCCATGACTTTTCCAGGTTTTCCATGACCGTGGGAACCCTCAACATCCATATTCCTACAAATAAGTGCAACTTTACTGTGCACTGTATTATGCTGCAGGTCAACTATTTGGCTCAGGCTTTCAGCAGCTAAGAGAAGAGACAACAAATAGAAGAAAATTAAAAAACAGTGATTATGACAACGGCAAAATGTTGATCACTGTGGGGACAAGACGATACAGAGGAGGAACTTTTACAAAGGGAGACTGATCGAGCTGGCAGAGAATTATAGAATGTATGAAAGTGTAGAATTACAGAAGTTCTATTGTGAAAATGTATTGCTTAAGGAGAGGGCTGTCTGACAACAAGGTGAAGTGGTGAAAATACTCTAAATATGGCATCCACTTAAACTGATAAAGATTTTTTAGATGGCTTTTTAAAATTTTGCTGCTGCCCATCTAAAGCAGTACATAGCTTTCATGTTGGTACTGTCTGCTTCTTAAAATGAAGTGTGCTCTACTGCAGATAATACACTAACAATGGACAAGCACCTCACACGGCCCCACTTCAAACAATCCGAACTAGCTAACTAAGTTTAGCTTTGTTTTCTGTTTTGTTTTTCTGCTTTTTTGCATATACACTTCACACTATGACAGCTCCTTCCCTAGCTACAACCAGTCATTGAATAAAAAGTCCAACAAGGCACAGCTGTACTTTGTAGCATGGTTGAAGCTGGCATCTCTAAAGCCTTTGACTCCTGCTAGGATTTATAAAAAATGTGCACTTCCCAACCAGCGAGTCTTGGAAGCAAACTGACGAAACCAACAAAGTCTACAGCAGGTCTGTACATGAATATGAAATCCGAATGGAACAGAACACAATTAAGTTAAAGCTTCAGTATGAAAATGGTTGAATAAGACGAGGGATGATGACGGCTTCACTTCAATAGTCCATGATTGATGAGTGCACTGGCATTTAATCATAAAATTACAAAAGTCTGATTTCAGATTTACAAAATGTGCCACCCTTATGTACTGCAAGGTGGATGACCCCTTAAGTGGTTATACTCAGAGCAGCCTCTTACTTCTTTGACAGTTGCTCAACCTCAACAAGAGGCCATGATTTTGGAAAGTCTTCTTTGAGGAAGGTCAGAGTGTTCCAAATGTACGATGCACACCATTTCAAAAGCAACCAGATGCTGACCTCTTTAGAAAGTCATTCATATTGGTTTCTGAGTGCCTGCCAGCATTCACAGGATGGAACAGAACATGCTGCCACTGTGGCAACCGCTTTCTACAGTGGCGCTGATCCTGGTCGTCATGGAAATTCCAAGTCTGGAGGGATACTGGGATGAGGAGAGGCCAGAAGGGGAGCTGGGCAGCGGACGAGGTGGAGGGTTTTCCAGAACCCAAGGAGGAGCAGATGGAGAGCTACAAAATGCAAAGAGATAAACAGTAAGACGAAATGAGATGGTTTTTAGACAGAAGGATCAGAAGCAGTGCAGATGTTAAACCTGCAATAACTGATTTTTTGAAGTCATGAACACAACACTAACATATCACCCTTTTAAAATGATATGGTGAACTTGCCAACAAACGTTTATGTACACATCCAGCATTTACAGAGCAACATCATTCATTTGGAGTTGTGTTTCTGTCCAGCTGACAAATTTAAATCCAATATTCACTCAGTTTCAGCTCAGCTTTTGGTCTGTACCAAGTCTTGTGGGGGTCTTTAGCTAGCAAATGCTCCACTATGTTGACCAGCTGGTGGCTTACTGTGTCTGTCTGCCATTCTGTGCTGAGTAGTTAGTGTACAGTGAGTTTTTAGAGCTTTCTTTTTTAAATGAAAACAGCTGCTTACAGCTTTTGAGAGCACTGAGTGAACCAAAGCTCTGGACCCCCAGTCAGCGGCCGCAGAGGCAACCCAAAGCCAGCCAGTGCAAAGCCCAGCTCCAGGGAACCAGACAAGACCCAACTCCCCACTGGATCAGCAAACTTTCTGTTGCTGCTGTTACACAGGTTCCGCAGCCCATCAGCCTGCTGTACCACCCGGTGCTGGAAGGCTGAGGGGCTACAGGTGCTGACCGAAAGTTTGTCCAGAGCTGCTGCCCACTCTCCTCCACTGTGGGGCAAAGGGACTGTGGGGCAGCTAGCTAGCTATTTCTTGTCTCATTTGTGGTCTGACATACAGAGAGAGTGAGGCAAGGAGGGGCTGAGTGAATGTCCTGCACACAACTCTATAAAGTAAGATTAAATAAATCAGTGTATGGGAAACAAAGTTATTGTATGAAGTGTGTTCACATGCCCCTGGTCATTTGGTGGGAGGGGCTTAGGACAAAGAGGGGAGAACTGCAGGAGGAGAGTCCATTTTCAAATTCTGTTTTGTTTTGCCTTTTTTCAGGTTTCTGCCTACCCCAGCTTAAGTGTGTGGACACTGACAGCAGATAGAAAAGGAGAATAAGTACAGACAGTAAAACCACTGATGGTCTGAATCTCTGGCACTTTCTGCTGGTTGCCTAGTTACCTGTTATTATGCCTTAGAACACTGTTGTTGCGCAACACACAGCTTTCATTGCCAGGATCCATATGCAGCAGTGCCTTTTTGTTCCCAGGGTTACCCTGGAACAAGAGATTGTCATGGACGACACCTTTTACTGGCCCTAGCACAGCGACGCCACAGCTCTGTGCTGGCTGGACACGGTTGCGCAATACCTAAAGATAAAAATGAGAACACCATAGAAATGTATAGAATCCATGTGTTAATATTTCATGAAGATGTTATGTACAGTGTTGTAAGAGTATCACGCCTCAGTCCATCTCACCTTAACATCAGCACTGCCAGAGACTTGGATCCCGTATCCACGGTTTCCAACCACATCATTCTCCACAATCTGCCCGTTACCACTGAAACTGACTCCATGGCCGCAGTTTTTATAGATGCCGTTACCACGAAGCTCCACTCTACAGTCTTTCTCCACTGTAACACCACCTCGACCATTTTCAAGAACGCAGTTTGTAACCAGTCGGGTCAGCTGACTGCTCTGCAGCACAGCTATGCCTGTGCCACGGTTACTGTTCACAAGGTTAGCAAAAACATTCAGGGGCTCACTGCTTTTCACGTACAGACCAACTGCTGCAGAAATAAGGAAGGAAAGATGGAGAGAACATTAGACACAGGAAGTGAGTGTACTTACACCATGTAATGCTCATGTAATGTCTATTATTACCTCCATTGTGGCTCATGCAGTTGCTCTCTACCAGGGCCACACTGATAGAACGACGGGCAGAGTGGCGCTCATCCTCACTGTCCAGATCACTCTCCCATGCAAACAGTTCCCCCTCTTCATTCAAGTTCTCCTGACCTTCTCTCCCTTCTCCTTCCACCCCCCTCCTTTCCCCGCTGCCTGCTTCACCACCAATCCCATCCTGCCCCGGCCAGTTCCCCTCCCTGGCCTCGATGTTCTCTGGATCTTTCCTGCAGAACACTGCCAACCCGTACATGCAATTATGGGTTATGTAGTTCCCCAGGAGCTGCGGGAGGCTGGATGACATAACCCACACACCACAGCCTTTGTTACCTGAGGGAACAATAGGAAGAAGAGAAATAAAACATCTGTGTCCTTGTTAGTGAAGATGAAAGCAGAGGTGAGCTCTTATGTCTGCCATTATCAGGCTGAAAGTACACACAGTAGACATGGTTTCCCTCAATGAGTCCCCGGCCTCTCTCTCCCACCACAACGCCGTCTGAGTAGCCATAACAGATGAAGTTGTTCCTCAGGATGGGGTCACCTCCTCTGCGAATGTCCACACCCCCCCACTGGTTCTCTTTGATCACATTCTCTGGAATTAAAATGTATTTATATGTGAAAAAAATAAGGTTTCAGAACCATAACTGGTGTTTTCCTTTTTATATGCAGCAAATCAATGGGGGGAAACTAAGAACCCACATGGCGTGTTTTTGTGAAATGTTATCACCTGTTATCATCCCTCTGCCATTCTCGTTTATAGCAATCCCTGCTGCCTGACCCTGGAAGATGTGATTCCCACTAAGAAAGAGACAGAGGGAAAGAGAGTGAGGAGAGAATGTGAGTGGACCAAGAGCAAATATTGATGTCAAGGACGTTGCCATGCAGTCAACCTTGGGGGGAGCCAAATTTGGCATATAACATAACAAGGACATTAACATTTGTTGAATACACCTGTGAGCTGTGAGCTACTAGGGTACAGCAACACCACTTAGACAAATCACATGCAAAGCTACAGTAAACCATAATACTAGAGCCAGTAGTTATAATAATTGTAACACTTGTTTGTTTGTGTTAGCAAATGCACCCATCATCTGTTCTGATCTGCTCATATCACTCTCTTACTGTAAAATGCTAGGTTATATATAGCAGCAAAATATATATACCACTGCACTACATTGCAGCAGTCATAGTAATCGTGAAGTTGCTTGAGTGAAATTATCCAGCCATGTGACACCCCATGTGTTACATTTGAAGCAAGCCGTAGTAGGGACTACACATTCCTGTGCAAGTTAGATGTTTGTGGATTCCAGCCCACCTGACCACAGGATTTCCGCTGAAGAGAATATACACGCCCGCTTCCTTGTTGTTATAGATCTGGTTGCTCCGAATTGAACCTTTGCCATTGCCAAGGACAACAACCCCTGAACGCAAACCACTGTGTATTTTGTTGCACTGTGAAATGAAAGACAGAATGAGAGTGGAAAAATGGAGCAGAGAAGACGATCAAACTAAGAGCTGTTTGGAGATATACCTACTGATTTTACAAACAAATCAAATGCGAGCCTCTATCCATCACTTTTATTGTGTTTCATAAATGTCTGTTTGATATAGTGGTAATCTGAAAAAAGCATCTCATGCATGCCAACTAACTATCAAATGTGTTTGTTTCTTCCTTGACTTCCATAGACAGTGGCGCAGCAATTACCACAATGATAGGGTTAGCCCCTTTCCGGATGTCCAGCCCCGCCTCCCCATTCGAGTGGATGTTGTTTTCTGCAATGAGGCCCTGAGCGGAGAGGCGCAGGAACACACCTGATGCACGGCACTCACACACCTCATTTCTAAGCATCACTATCTGAAGGAGATAAGGGAGAAAGAGAGGGAGCTCAAGTAGCACTCAGAACAGGAAGCTGCTGCTTAATTACTCATGATCTGAGCTGCTTCCTCGGCTTGATACATGACTGAAGAAGGTATGCAGCCTGTAAAAGTCATTGTAAAAATGCAGTTTAAATGTGTTGAGATACAATTTAACACTCCATTAGTCTGAAGAATGTTATAATGATCATATTTACTGTGGAGTTCTGGATGCAGCGGACAGCATAGTTCAGCCCACGGAAAACGTTGCCCTCCAGCCGAGCTTGTCCGTAATTAGACAAATGCACGCCACCCTTTCCTTCCCTGAAGAGGCAGCGTCTGAGGATACAGCCAAGGGTGGAGGCTGCCAACATCTGAGCCTCTGGGTCCCTGTCTAGTTCCTGCTGAAAGGTGAGGGGTTCAGGGGTCACAGACGGTGGATCCGGGGAGGAGGCCGGTGGCAGAGAACCATCTGTCCGAGGCTTGAGCAAATGGGATAGGCCATGATTGTCACAAGAGATTTTGTAATCCAATATAAGTGGGTTTTTGGTGTTGTTAGTTCCTCCTCCATCTCGGTTCTCCTCTCCGTCACTGTGGTCGCCATCACTCCAGCCGTCTTCAATCACCGTGCCCTGACACACTGCATCTACTCCAGTCCTCCTCTGCCAGTCTTCTATGCTCACATGCTCCTTTTTCATATTAGCACTTGGCGGCTGATGCCCACCTGTGGAGCCAGCCGGAGGGGCTGTGGGAGGGCTATGGTTCCCAGATGGGCCACATGAAGGGAACGTCCTGGCCAGGGCAGCCAAGTGTTTACAAGCCCAGTTCCTCTCTGACACTGGAGGACCTTCAACAGTCACAGAAGCTGTGTCACTACCAGAGAAGTCACAGCTGTCCAACAAACTGAGCACAACGCCCAGCAAGTGGGCGGAGCTGCCTTGTGAAAAGGAGCAGAAGCGAGCCTGACAGGTTCCTGGGCCACGGACTTGCAGCTGAGCCCCCTCAAAGTTGCAGTTATCGAGTTGGACGTGACCCCATGATGTCTAAAGTGAAGCGAGGAGAGAAATGTGACTGGAGTGAGATTAAGCAAGGAAGGAACAAAATAATAGATTATATGATATCTGAGGTGAGCAGTTATTCTGACCACTTGATGAGACATTACTGTAACAAAGAACCATCATGACAAGCTGTTACATCACCTTGTAGACCACAGTGGAGAACCAGGGTGGCATGAACACCAGATTACACAGCCTGGCAGTAGGGCACTGCTGCTCCATACACACCAGGAGGGCCACCTCGCCCAATCGACCCAGCCCAACCAGCTCCACAGGCACCTTCAGCGCCACTTCAGCCTGCTCTTCATACACCCCTGGATGGAGAACTACACGATCATATGGCCCCGCCACCCCAAGGGCACCACGTAGGGTCTCAAACTCACATCCAGCCCCTACATGCCAAACCCTGCGGTCTTTTCTACGACGGAAAAAGAGGAGGCAGGCAGAGGACTGGAGCTCTGGCCCATTTTGAGTCCAGGTGCGGGTGGACAGGGCGTGCTGCTTCAGGGCCTCTCTCCAGGACGGGGGCTCCATATGGGGCTGACTGGGCCAGTTGGGATGTCTGCACTCGGGGCAGCCTAAGCAGAGCTGTCTCCAGCGGGTGTTGTCTAGAGAGAGGATGAGCTCCCGCCAGGCGCGGCACACCTGGCAGCAGCGGCCCAGGTCAGGGAGCGGAAGATAGGCCAAGATAACTCTCCACAGCTCCACGGGGAGGCTGCCCACCTCCATGGCAGCAGAAACACCGGCTGGGGAGCACCGCGACGGGAGGGGGCACCTGGAAACAGTCACATGCACACATGCACGCGCAGTTTACGTAACAGGAAACCGCGAGCGTCGACCGTTACCAACAATAACACACAACTGAGCTCGTAAATGACCACACAGATAAACAGTCAATGCTACAGGGACCAGCCATTACTGTAACTAGCTAAACTGTTAATTTAGCAGGAAACAACACGTAGCAAACTAGACATGACGGAAATGACACCGCGAATTCTGTAACCTTATTTTTACTTTACGTGTCTCCTATCTTCACCTGTACGTACAATACTGTGTTTAAAGTTTGCTACAATTAATAACGGTTAGCTAGCGAGGCAACTTCACGCTAGCTATTTCCAAACCTTGTGTAACTAACGTTAGCCACAACATCAACAAACACATGAAAGCATCGTATACGTCATAAATTAAAGCCTTACCTTTTACCACTTTGCCATAGTTAGATGAATCAACACATGCCTGCTGGATATTTAGATAATATCTCTGGCGTTACATGTCTTTCCTCACTGCTTCCAGAGTTCATAACAGCCCATGACTGCAGATGTGCCATCGAAATGGAGTTCAGACGATTGCTTCCAGTTTACGGCAAGAAACAAACAGAGGTGGTCCATCTTCCGCTTCCCAAAAGTGGGCGTGCACCTCATGGAAGGAGACTGCTGTTTGGTTAACATCGTTGTTATCCTCAGTCGTCTGTCATACATGTGTGGTTGAAGCTGATGCTACAGAGAGCGGGTGGCGCGTTAGTCCAACCCCATCTTGCGTCTCACATCTCTGCCTCCAGCCTCACCCTGGTGAAGTATTACTACAGAGCCTTTCACAATTTTACACCATTGTGGGGATCTGATTACTAATCATTTAGATCCTCAACTTGCCGAAAGATATTGTAGTCAAACTCACACTCACTGTCAAAACATTATCAACCGACAGTTAGAAAGAATGAACCATAAAATGTGTGTGTGTCTACCCTGTCACTGACATGTAGGCTACTTTTTAATATTGTTAAAAGTGTACCATAAAAACAAGAGTCACAGTTTTAAAAAGATATGATATTTCGTTCAAGTTGTATACATTTTAATGTAATATAATACAATTTTTAAACAACCAGACACAATATGGCACAATTTTGAACCAAGAATGTAGAATGACACTTTCTCATTTCTCATTTGCAAACTATTTCCCTTTAAATAAATGATTATTTTATTTTATTTTATTTTATTATTGTGCCATGCATAAATAATATGCCCAGCCCAAAAAGGCATGCAAGACACCATAAAAAATATAGAGAGAGAGACCAGAAACCAGAGTAGCGACATAAGTTATAGTCAGTACTAATAAACCACCCTGATGTTTTTTCCAAGCTTCAGAAACAAAGTTAGCCAGCCCTACAGACATTAAGATTAAACAACGATTACATTCTGTCATTGTCAGTGCACTGACGATTAATGAAATTTCATTAAGTGCAGATATTCTTATCATATTAAGGACAGTACAGACGAAAATTAATTAATTAATTCTCAACTTCTCCTGATTCCCATAATTCACACAACCTGTTGTCCCGTTGGATGTTTTTAAATCTGCCAACTTCAAGGGCCAGAGGAAGGATTCTTGTTCTCAGCTGTGCAACTTATTTACCTTTGACTCCTTGATAAGTTTGCTATAACATCAATATATATAACAACATATAACATCAGTGCAATTATTGTGCTTGATTTGTATATATTTCTCTCTCTCTCTACTCTAGCAAGTAACTTTTCTTCTGATTGTGTTCATGCATTCATATATTGTACGTCAGCTTCTTCAAAAACACCATGAAGCTCTGTAACGCCATGAAGCTCTGTAACAATTCAGTAATTGTTTGAACATTTTTAAAGGACTTGCTGTATGTGTGTTGAGAAGGGCTGGGACAAGCACCAAAATGATCACCATCATCAAAACCCAGGTAAGACTTCAGGAGACAGGTGTCTAATCTTGTCTTGTTTTCCTTCTAATAATTGACATGGATTCTGAGAATATAGTGTCAGTAATCTTTATTCATTGTGTCACTGCCTTTGTGCAAACTTCAGCACACATAACAGCACAAATATGTATTTATACTTTGTGCTGTTCTGAAACATTTATTGTATCTTACTGTAATAGTGTGAATATGTTCAGATGCATCCAGTGAGTGGTTGTGGAGAAAGCCCTTGTTTTACATACAGTGCAATCTGCTGTTGTTTATTCCTCCTCCTTCTCTTACAGGAGGACTTTGGCAAGGCTCTGAAGGATGCAGGAGACCAGCTGGTGGTGGCAGCTTTTACATCCCAGTGGTGTCCACCCAGCAAAATGACTGAACCTATCTCCAAAGTAGGTTTTTACTTGCAGCTGTAGCCCAAATATCTAACTTTGCCAGACTTGTTCTGACTAGGTTTTGAAGGTAAAATTTTTACTTCAGCTGCTCCTGAGCACAAGATGACCATACATCAGTGATTTTACAGATACTGTGTAGCTTAGTAAACAAGGTTTGGACTCAAAAGGAGAACGGTGGTCAAATAGTCAGAAAAAGAATGTCCTTTTTCTTTTCCTATACACTTTGTCTTGACCTTGATGGAAAATGTCATGAGGTCAAGGAAAGATATGAAGGAGAATTCATGAGGTCTTAGGAAAAGACAACTGCAGTGCTAAGAGAATCCGACTACACTTACCCATTTATGCAACGGTGGATGTTTTTTGATGAGAGTCACTTTCAATGTTGCTGCATGGAACTGTGGGACAGCATTATCTCCTTTACTTTTGTAAAGGATGATCCAGTGTACCCTATGCTAAAGGAGATAACAAAGGAAGCATTGAAGCACCTTAGCATTTAGAGAATTTGACCAGCTCTTATCATGGCTGCCACTTAAAGACTTCATTTCATTCAGATAGGAACCTTCCCAAGCAAAAAAGACATCTCAACCTGTCATTACGATTGACAGGTTGAGAGCATGGGTTGGTATCTCAGGGACTACCCTCCAGTGGTATTCTTCATACTTTTCTTTCAGAAATGTTGTTGTGTCTGCTGATGGCTTTGTCTCCTCTCAATCATCATCCATGTGTGGGCTCTATTATAGGACCACTTTTATTTTGTCTTATCAGCACATTATCAAACAGCATGGTTTTTTATTTCATTGTTGCACAAATGATACTCAGCTGTACTTGTCCTGCAAACCTTCTGAAGGAGCTTAATTATCATCACTGCATTATTGCCTTGCCACGGTTAAGGATTGGATGGCTGTAAAAGTTCTTCAGCTAAACTCCTCTAAAATGGAAAACCCTATTATAGGCCCTCAACACACTTGAGGCCAAGATTTGCCTGCACTTGGAGCTCTAGCTCAACATCTTGTTCCTTCAGAACCTTGAGATTGTTTTTGATAACAACCTCAGTCTCGAGTCCCATGTAAATAGGCTAGCCCAGTTGTGTTTTTTCCATTTGAGAAATATTGCTAGAATTAGATTTTTTATTAAATTTAATGATCCTAAAAGAGTTATCCTTAACCAAAACATGACTCAAGGGTGTCCAAATTGCAGCCGCCAGACTTTTAAGTAAATCACATAAGCATGGTCGTGTCTCCTCTTATTTAGCTTGCCCTTCACTGACTGCCTGTCTGTTTTAGAACTGATTTTAAAATGTTAGTCTTGACTTTTAAGGCCTTCCATGGTATGGCACTGAGCTACCTGGCTGAGCTTATAAATCATTACTTACCATCCCGTAACCTGAGGTCTTCTGATAAGGGTGACAGAGAGTTTGCTTTTAGGGCTCCAACCCTTTGGAATAGCTCACCTGTGGAACTTAGACAAAAGAATTCACTGTCCTCTTTTAAATCGTCTCTTTAGACTCACCTCTACCATCTGGCTTTTTCTTAATTTTTCTTAATAATTTTTTTTTCATCTGTTATAATGGTTGTTTTAAAAGGTGCTATAATAATAATAATAATTATAATTATAATTATAATACTAAACTATTAATTAATTATTAGTTATTATTTCAACAGGCAAACACTAGCAGGCAGAGACAAAAACTGGATCACAATGGCAGGGAACGAAGGGAAAGGCCTGGTATAAATAGCTAACTACTAAGCTTATAACCAAATGGAAAACAGGCGTGCAAATGGGCATGGGAGTCAGGTGTGGTTTATGCATGACAGGTAGGAGTTGCTGGATCTGAAATGAAAGTTGTTGCTAGGCACGAATTAAGAGCTAGCTGGCATTGGAAGGTACTTTATATTTTGTTAACTCAATAAAAACTAGAATTTCAAGGCACTCTTAATTTCCTCCTTTATCTGCCTTCCATTCTACAATAGAATTGATTTCTTTTCTTTTGACTAATTGCCATTCTTTGTTTTTGCCCCCAAGGGAATGTCAGAGAAGGTAGATGTTGATGATGTTCATCCCTCTGGTTTCAACAATTCTAATAACTTTTTTTTCCTTTTCTCCCCAGCATGTGGATGGACTTGCTGGAGGTAATATCTCATAGCTACAGGAGAAGTTGGCAAATTTGAAATGAACTGCAGGATTTAGTTAGTATGTTTGGAAATTCTGGGATTCTCACTTGAATATAAAATAATATGGTTTAGTAAAGATGTACACATTGGTGGTCTGACATAGTTACAGTAAAAAAGTGGGCGAAACGTGGACTAGGTTTTAAGTAAGCTAGTAATATTAAGCTTTGCAGTAGATAAATGACAACTCGGAGCATCAATGGGATGACTTTAATGATTCTAACTATTTCTATCATAGATATTAAATGGAAATAGATAATGCCAATGGTCAAATCCAGTTCAGTTTCTTTTAAATAAACAACATCACAACTAAACAGTTGACCTACATGAACTGAGTGCCATTTGCCAGAAACAGCACCACTTATGAATTGAGATTGCTTCGCTGATAGCTGGATTGGGAACAGCATTGAGCTGTTGCTGTTGGCTTGTTGTTTCACTTTTCATTATTAGGTACAGCTGTTTTCCTTGTAAGTGATGAAAGACTGTTTAACTTTGGGGTAATGTTCCACTAAAGTCATGCAATGTCAGCTGCTAATGAGGGACGAGTGTATTACAGCCACACAAAAACATTATAGTCCTGATGGTGTACATCTTTGTCCAAGAGGTGGCGGTGTCCTGCCACTGAGAATTTTAATCTGATGCCACCGGTACCCTGTTCTTCATAATACAACCAGGGAAACCTTGTTTAAAATGTTGTATACCAAATTGTATTTTCAGGACATTTAATTGTATTTACACCATCACAAACAGAAAAAACCCTAAAAACTAAGCAGAGGAGAGTGGAGAGGTCAATGTTTTTGTCTCTACGATGCAGGACCTACAAAATGTGAAGGGGCTGAGATGTGTTTATTGAGACAGTGCTCTTCAAGAAAGACCTTTAAGGGAAAAAAATCCTCTGAAAACAGCATTTGGTGAGTTACTGTGCGTGCCCTTTCAAGAGACAACATCAGAGATCATGTCTGACCTCTAGGTGAGATTAATGTGGAGTCTAGTCTGAAAATGTCACGTTTAATCAAATTGAACATATTGTGTTTGGTTTCCATTTACAGAGTTTTATCATTATCGTTGATGTGACTTGGTTTGCACAAAGAGCCTAGTTGGATATTTGGATGTGTGGCATAATAAATTCAAAGATAGAAAAATGTGGCACTGGGCAACATTTAAAATACTGTATAAAAAAAGTCTACATTATTTTATGTTTTTCAACATCATTTCTTTTTATTGCTAGATGTTCTACAAAACCAGAGAAAAATCAACTGTTTTGACAAAATCTTGGATTTGAATCATGACTTAAAACATGAAATGTAACACTTTATATTAAGGTACACATGCTCATTAGTAACTAGTGCATGTTCATAGCATATCGGTTCTTTATCAGTCATATGAAGCACTTAATAATGTCTTATTTTGCCCTACCACTTTCTACAACTAGGCCATTAATTAAGACTTTCCCCCCAGTAACCTCCCAATTACTGCTTATTGATGGGAAGTAAGGAAGTTGCTGTACATTTACAAGTACAATCTCCATATGCTTTGCTCAGTATGGGCCTTATAAGGTGGTAGTGTCACCTTTTCTCTTAATAACATTCAATAAATATGGTCGTTAATGCTTTCTATTAAGGTCATAGCTGTGGCTAAGGAGGTAGAGCGGGTTGTCCACTTATCAGAAAATCGACAGTTCAATGCCCAGCTCTTCCAGTATGCATGCTAAAGTATCCTTGGGCAAGATATTGAGACCCAGTTTGCTGACAGGCACCAGTATGTAAATGTGTGTGAATGGGTGAATGTGATAAGTAGTGTAAAGGTGCTTTGAGTGGTCAAAAGACTAGAAGGGGATCATACAAATGCACGTCCATTTACCATATCATGCATTATAAGCAAATTCATAAGACATTATAATGCATTTATAAGGCTCTTTATAAATGCTTAATAATCCCCAAAAACCCAAAGAAGCATAAAGTCAACAGACAAAATTAAAATTAAACATTTTTCCACTAAAAGATGACACATTTGCATGTGCCTTATTTGTATGTTGTTTTGTTTTTTGTTTGTTTGTTTTGCTTTTTTGTTTTTTTTTTATAACATGTTCGATGTGAGAAGCAAATTGACTGACCAGCCAGTATTCCAAAACTGGAAAATAAAGATGGCTTTGATAATTGCTGTGTTTTTACTTGCAGCCAGCAGATACAGCTCATAAATCCTCATAATTGTATAATAGTATCATACAATTGCTATATACAGTCACTTCACTTAAAGCTCACAAAGCCCTACCACAGTGTATTATTGTTTATAAGACATTATTCAGTTTCAGAAACTTAGAATGTGTAATCTGTTCTGATACATTAGAGCAGTTCTCCATGTATCTTTGTAAGTGGCTGAAGTGATGGTAGTTATAATGTGCTTTAACACAGGACTCAGATTCTACTTTCAAACACTGTTGCCACTTTGGTATGGAGGTATGAAGCATGATGGATGCTGAATTTATTATAGTCCACCACTATATTTACAAACATTTATAAAGAGTTGTATGAAGCCTTATAAATGCATTATAATGTCTTCTGAACGTGCTTGCATTACAGACATGACCTTCAAGGAAAGTGTTACTTTATGGTTTATTCTTCTTTATTCTCATTCAGTGGTAGAGGAACAAACGCAGCACACATTTTTTTTCCAAACATATCTGTTAAACAATGTTATGCCCTATCATGTAATTGTAGTAGTATTGTGCTATCAAAGATTTACTTAAAGTGAAGAGGAAGCAACTTCAGAATAGGGAACATGTGGGTTCATAAGTGTCAGACTGCTAGTGAATTAGTTGTGAGCGAGACCTCACTTAAGAATGGGCAACACATTCTGAGTAAGAAAGACTTAGAGTTATTTGGACAGTTTTAACACCTATAGTTTTTTGTTTTGTACATTAGAATATATCATATTTATTAAATCTCATTAATGGAGAATGTCTGGCCCATACTGAGTAAAGCACGTTGAGATTGTAATTCATGTACAACAACTTTCTTACTTCCTCTCAAATAGCAGTAATAAGGAGGTTAATGAGGAAAAACTCTTACTAGAAACTCTGGCCTAGTAGTTATCAGATATGGTAATGCAGAATAAGGCATTAATAAGTGCTTGATAATGACTAATAAAGGCCAATATGCTACTGATATGCATGCTCATAAGAAACTAGTTAATGGTGCATGTGTGTACCTTAATATAAAGTGTAACCAATATAATGACTGAGAGAGACATTAACAGATTATTGGTTTGTAATTAATGCCACAATGTATTCAAAAAATTTGTCTTAATCTGAAAATGTATATGCATGTTTTTTGAAGACATACATACATTTGATTTTGATGATTAGAAATAACTACTGTATATAATCTATAATCTGCGAATAGAAAACTTGCAAACAAAGCTGATACATAAAACACATCATACACTGACACCACACTTGAATTTCATTGTCCTGCAGTCTGCTCAATAAACCAATATACTATTTATATTGTGCATTTACCCTACAGTTTTAAAAAAAAATTACATTTAATATACAATTTGAAATACAATTCTTTTAACTGCTTACAAAAATAGCTCTTATAAAGTGAGTAGACATACAATGTTTAACGTATTGCTCAAAACCTAGATTTGTGTCACCACACCTTTATTTGTTGCTGACACAGGAAATGGAAAAGTTGGGTAGATGGTCAACCTTGCAGCTGCCACATGGAGCTTTCCCATTAAGAAACATTTTCTCTCTGTGCTCCATCAGTGCAATCCATGCTTCCACCTTGAGCTTCAGTGGTGATGAAGATGTGTCCAAAATGTTTTTCTTTCCCTCTTAGCCAAATCTGTAAAGAGTTTGTTCTTCAAGATGTCTGCCTACAGAGAAAAAAAAGTATGTTATAGAGTAGACAATCATCTATACTCATACTGAATATGGAATTGGTGGCAGATGATTATTTGCTCACTATATGATCACAATTACTTTAATTCAAAATATGAAATTGCTGAATTGATTAAAAAAAACACTAAGTAAAAACACAAATTCAACAAACAAACAAACAAGCAACTAATTCAATACCATGGCTTCAAATGGAATTTAATCATTTCAACTTTGCTTTTATTTCCTAAGTTAGAGGAAGTTTTTATGAATAAGACTGGGACTTTTCCTCAGTTGGTGTCTGTGAGGAAGCTGCCACCACTTGTTTTCAACACACTTAGCCACTTAGTGACTAATAGTTAACCACCTTCCTGGAAAGTTGAATGTTAAGCAAAAGTGACTTAAGGGGACTTAAATTCAGCAACATCCTCATCTTTCCCTGATCTGTGACTAACCATGTAAACAATGAATAACTTACTGAATAAAAGCCATAAAAAAAGCTAGAGTTGCCTTTGGGTCAACACTAAACCAATAAAATCCCCTTGTGTACCTACGTGCCAGAGACTGTGCTGTCATATTGCTATCATCTGTGTACCACATGAATAATCTAAATTCCTCTGGTTCATATGAGGTCTGTTCTCATCTATCTATCCACATTCACAAAAAGAGAGTAAAGATATACTTACCTAGTCTGTGTCTTTTTAAGCACTTTTTTGACCCAAGGAGCATCAGGGTCCAGACAAATCTTTTGCCCATCCGTTTTAAGAGTGGCACTGCAGGATCAAAGACAGGTCAGAGTCATCAGCTGCAGGAATATTCCCCTTAAGACCTAGTTATTTTACACCAGACCCATTAAAAGGATAGTTCAGATTTTTTTGGAGTTGTATGAGGTATTTATCCATAGTCAGTGTATTACAAACAGTAGATGTCAGTTGCTATGCCCCCATTTTGAAGAAGCAGGTTGGAATCTGACATGAAAGCTAAGCAATGTACTGTTGTGGAGGGGTCAGCAACTACATGTAATTCAGCCACCTAAAAAAGCCCCCCCCCCCCTAAAAAAATCAGTATCAGTCTAATTGGACGCTATATTGAGAATATTTTCATTGCTTTACTTTGCTGTCACGCAGCGATTTCCAACTGGAAAATGAAGCCAGACACCATTGAGAAAAACGGTGATTTAACATTAGTGAACACAGGAGCCGCTGGTCTATGCCACCTCGATCCGTTACTTTGTTTGTGTTATTGTGTGACTTTGGCTATTAAAAGGGGTTGTGTGGATTCAAAAAAGTCACACATTAACACAAACAAACTAACTGATCAAAGCAGCAGTAGACCAGCAGCTCTCGTGTTTGGCGAGCTAAAATGACTGTTTTTGTCAATAGAGTCTGGCTGCTTTTACCAGAGCATGGATGTGGAACTGAAGCCGTTATTGGCTTCCCCACTGGAATGGGCTGTCTGATTAAATGGTAAGGTGCTTAAAATGCTCTCAATATAGCGTACATTTACACTGATATTGATTTTTTTAGCTAGGACATTTTTTTAGGTGGCTAAAATTTGTTTTGGTGCTGGCCCCCATCCACAGCTATACATTGCTTAGCCTCTGTGTTGGACTTTAGCCTGCTTCTCCAAACTAGGGACCTAGCAACGGACATCTACTGTATGTAATGCACTGGCTATGGATGAATACCCCGTACAACCAACTTTAAAAAAAATTGAACTGTCCCTTTAAGACACAGGTAAACACCTCAGGCATGCTTTGTGAGTACAGATTAACAGAACAACTGTTGAACTTTGGCCCCAGGACTCACATAATCTCAGTGTCCTTGCAGTGGGAGCTGGGAGGGTTCACCTCCACCTGTCCTATGTAACGACCAATGGGCTTTCTCTCCTTGCTGAGGCATCGACATCTCTGAACCAGTGGATGATCCAGACTTTTACCTGGGGTTGTAAGAGGTCAGAGAAGGATATCAACTATCTGGACAGAAACAAGGCAAAGCAAACTGCTGATTGCTAAATGCAGATCACAAACAGGCACTTGACACAAATCACAGAGTGCATGGATGCTGGCAGCAAAGAGAGCGAGGCATTCATACTGGGACAAAACTATTCCGATTTAAAAAGCAAATGACAGATTAGACTCACCCTCAGGGATTGTCAGGAGAACCAGGAGTGCCACAACAGTAATGATAGACATATTTGCTCTGAAGCTGAAGTCAGAGACACAATCTAATTCATAAGAAACGGTATTAGTCAGTAGACTGCAAACATTTAAGCTCAGCTGTTCCCTCTGCAGTTGTTTCTACTCTTATACCATTTGTCCCTCCCCTTATTTCAAGGAACCAATCTTTTTTTTCATTAGCAGTACTGGAGAGAAAAGGATAATGCATTAGTTTTGGAGTAAAGTACTACATTTAGTATTGGTTCCCATAAGAAAAAAAATCTCATTAATTAGTGGTTATTTAGATTCATAGGATTTAGCTTTTTTTCATGCTTCTTTTTTTTCAGGAAGTATTTTATATACGACATTTACTGGAACTCACTGCACTGGTTCCAATTAACAAGCCTGTGTGAAATTTTAAGTTGCTGTTTTTCAAGAAAACAAACATAACAGTTTTCCCGCAAAAACAGATTTCCTATGAAAAAGTCAGGTCACTTAGCAGGAATCTGAAATTTGCATGTTTGTGCCAAACAGACTACTGGTATTTCTCTACTGTACCCCACAGCAAGCCTGGGAAAATTTTTATGGTTTTAATTTCCAACTAGTATAATAATCATATTAATACTGGCTCTGCGTTGTTGCGGCTGCAGCCACTTAGCAGGAAGTTATCTACAATCTCGTTACTTGTGCCAAAGTGACTAACTGTGATTGTCTTCTCTGTCTCCATTGTGTCTGGGCATTTTGAAATACCCTGCTCTGATTTGTAACCTCAAAAAGCCTTGCAACATCCCAGAGCAACTTTGCTTTTGCTCTCCCTTAAGCAAACATATAAAAGTAACAGATTATTTTCTGGGAATAACAACATGTAGATAATGGGTACAATCCTATCAAAGAACAAGAATAAAAGATTTGAGTTATTACTTTCAATGCAAATATATGCTGTGTAAAACAAAAGCTGAACAATAATACTTATGTGCTGCACATGCAAGAGTAAGGTTGAGAGCATTTGTGTATATCATCATATCTCTGTCATATAGGTGTAAGTTATGACAAGCCTGCAAACTTGTCCTAGCATGATGTTAAATGTCAGAGAGACGCGGTTACACACATGTGGAATGTAAACTCCTGCAGGGCTTCCCACCCACAGATAAATGCCCCGATTCAAAGTTTTGTGTGAGGGGGGGAAAAAGCAATCAACCTTCAACCTCTAGCTGTTTGTAAATCTTAAAACAATGTGACAATTCCTGGAATCCCCAGAGGCTGACTGCCTCTGAGTCTTCTTTCTGTATCATCAATATTTACAATAGCACAGCTGAAACCTATTGTTTGCTATTGTATACATATTTCAGTGGAGCATGCTTACACTAAAGCGCCACAGTAACGCTCAAGCATACCTATCAGCTTACCTCTCAGACACACTAGAAAAGAAAACAAGAAAAGGAAGAGTGGGCGGTGACAAGTTCATGATTCATTCCTGATTTTCCCAGTGCCTGTTTTCACCCTTATTAACTCAGTGTTACGTATTCAGTATCAGTGTGTGGTGTTTTGTGTGCATCTGCATATGTTTGGTGTTTAAACCATATTTTATAATAAGGTGATGATAATAAATGTTATCAGGCAGAATGCCATTCAAAACAGAGCAGCCTCCCTTTAAATGTGCAACATTATACTCTACCAATACTTAACTCTGGAATGCTATGCAACCAGCTCAGGCGACAGAAGAAAATGTTGGTATCAAGGCTGTAGGTTTCGTTCCAACACTGGTGGCAGGGAGGGGGAGCATATATGAAACAGGGAGGGCGTTCTCCTCTGAATGTTTTTAGCATCAAACACTTGCGTTCTGGTGAATTTTTATGCACCAGTGTGTGCATTTTCTCCATCAATTTATGATGTTAATGCCTTTCATTTTGTCAAAATAAAAGTCCTCTGCAGCTTTCATTGGGAGGGACAAATGCACATGTTCTAAATATTGAGAGGGACGTGTCCCATATGTCTCTCCCAGTATCTACATCTATGGTTGGTATTGTTTCTGTAAGCCATGAATACATTACATTTGCACATTTCATATGAATCATATTAACCTTTATAAAGTGAGGTATGAGCTGACTTTGTCATCGGTAGGTGGAGGGAACTAGGCGAGACGCCTGCCAAGCTGCAGACCACTGTTTGAGACCAACAATCAAAAAGACTGGTAGTCATTGCTGTGCTTACAGCTACTTTTTAACGAAACATGGATGTTTTTTAGTGGTCCATCATTGTTTTTTCAGCGGGGATAGTGCCACAAGATGCAGTTGTTTTTATAAGAGACATTGCTGCTTTTTAGCCGCTATAGCAGCATATAAAGCGGGTATATTTTACCAAGACATTCCTGCATTTCCAGCGGGGATTGTGCCATCAAAACCGGGTATTTTAAGCCAGAGCATGATCTTTGGCTAGCCATAACCAAGTGTTTTCTCTGCCTAAACCTAACCACGTTAACCACAGCATTGTTGAAATGAAAAGTTTCAGCATATCTGCTTTATAATAATGTGTAACATATCCATGGGTTGCAAATACCAACAATTCCAACATTTTTTCAGGCAGTTGGGTGGATGCAACAACTTAATGCACTACTCAATGTTATGCCAAGTTTTACCATTGCTAAATAAGGAAATATGTGCCAAAGTAATCACAAAGCAATTTGTTGTTGTTATTTTTGCTCTTGTTTGGTATTTTCTCAGCTCTAAACCCACTTTTGCTGAACTGGATTTAGTTTAGTTTTAGATTTTTTTCATCATTTTTTTATGATAACATTTAATAAAAATGCAATCAACATTCTAAAATAAAAACAACATTGCCAGGGAACCATGAATGCCTGCAGAACAGGGATTGGTCTTTAAACATGTAATTTTGTGTTAGATAGCTACTAACTATATAAAAAAATAAAAATAAAACCATGGATGAGTTTGCCTTTTTTAGGACATTTAGAGCAAATGTCACCGATTTTAAATTAATAATATTTTTTTTTATGTCATTCCTCTTTTAACACAGGTATATTTCCAAGGTGGTAATCAGAATCACTTTCTCTATGTGCAACCGCACTGCCTGCACTGTCGATATTTATTTTATAGTAACATGCTTTTACAGTAAACGATATATCATGATGACAATGCAGGGTCAGTTGTTTTGTTTTAGCTACAGAATATCTACAATAATGAACGGGGTTTCTTGTCTGCAACATTGAAAGTTTTAGCTGAGGTCAATGGGAAGTTCTGGAATATCCAAACATCTATGGATCATGCTATAAAAAAAAAGTCATCATACTTCCCCTGTGATCTCATGATGCTACAGACCCTGTTTCCTCTATTTTGTGTGTGTGCGTGTGTGTGTCTGTGTGTGTGTGTGTGTGTGTGTGTGTGTGTGTTTGTGTGTGTGTGTAAAATTGATCGTGCTTTAGAAAATGAAACCTTGCATATCTGTTACAGGCTGAAAGTGTTTGCTTTATTTGTCTTGCCATTAGTACGAACCTGAAAATATGACATGCTATAAATACACACATCCTCAACACCTCTCACTTCACCATATTTTCCATTCTAAAAATATGAGTGACATATATTCGCACTCTGCCCCCAGCATCACAAGGTAAATTTGAGGGAGGATCTTTCTGATATACCACTGTCACTTTTAGAACACATATGACCTTGATCCTCCCTCAAATTTACCTTGTGATGCTCATATGTGTCCTAAAAGTGACAGCGGTATATCAGAAACTTTCCACCAAAATTCATCACATCCTGTATTTAATCAAATCTGATATTCACATCTGGTTTTCATTTCCGTAAAGTCTAAGATGACCACAAAAGGACATGGTTCTCTATGAATTCTGGTCATAACTATTGGCCTTGCTGAGATTTAATTTAGTTCCTGTTTATAAAGACAATCTCCAATAAAAATTGTCACATTTTTAACAGACATAATTGTGTCTCCCATATAAAATCTTTCAATCAGCACGAATTGTTTAAGTGAGGCAACAACTGCATGGTTTGTGTGTCATGACCACAAGATTAGCCTTTACAGTTTGGAAGTTTCTTCATACTTCCTTCTGCTTTGTCAGACTGCATGAGGTGACGTACGGCAGATGTGTTGAAGCATGTTGAAGTTGCATCAGGCCTCGGTCCCATGAAAGTTTTTGGCACAGCGTCTGTTGTTTCTTTAGGAATGTCAAATGTGTGAGCCAGCATTATATGACGATTTTGATGAGTGTAATAATTGCCCTGCAATAATGTGTTTTACATCTGGAATGCATGAACTGGGTTCAAAATGTCAAAAGCTTCTCTTTGAGGTGTGTTCACTTATTATAACTGCATAATTCAAATTTGTGGATTGTACTTTTTTTGGGATTGAGTTGAAAACACTGCATTTCTTAAAGGTATAGTGTGTAGAATGTAGGGGCTTCTATTGGCAGAATGTTATATGATATTCATAACTTTGTTTACATTACTTTATAATTACCTGAAACTATGAACTGTTGTGTTACTGGGACCTTCAAATAACCTGTTTATACATTTGCATAGATTTCAGGGGGCAAACAGAGCACACGTCGCAATTAATATTTAGAACATGTGCATTTGCCCACCCCTTCCCCTCACCCATAACAACGTGAAAGTAACAAAGGACTTTTGCTTTAATATTTAAGACATTTACACCTTAAATTGATTAATTACTTATTGACTTATTCATACTTCAAAAACAGCATCAATAAGTGATTAAATGAAATAAAAATCAACCAGCCATCCTCCTCCCCTGACAGTCCCTTCATAAGTAAAGAACAGTCCCTAAAGTGCGGTGAGGTTTGTGGACCGTTACCTGCCACAAAGAGTAATGTGAACGGCTCGTTTCTCCTCTGACACGCCACATACCTGTGTGCCGCCTCGGCTGGGTTGTCCAGGTACTACTGGGCAGTCATGACACCAACGAAAGAGGAAATTACTGGACCTGGAGTTGGACTTCTCTGTCGCCGGTAAGCCGTTATCTTGCGCCGCAGTGCACTATGAGCCTCCGCCGTATTCCTGTCTGTGACCCCCGTTCAACCCACAACTGCCAGGATTCGCCTTTCCTTTCTGTTGCTGGTTTAAACGTGATAATAGGTGCTCCCCAGTGCCCACTCCACTAACTTGACGTGGTAATGAGCGGTAGTCTAGAAAACTGGTGAGTTTTGTTTTGGTTTTTTTCTTTGGAGGACGCTCATAGATTGCGTCCTGGGCGGTCGCCCACATTACCCATAGCAAAACCCGTCCCTGGGTGTACAGGAAATCTAAAATAACCACTTGTCAACCAGACCCGCTGTCGACACTAACCTCGCGACAACTGCCACCCAGGCTACTGCAGGTGGCAGTTCTCGCGAGGCTAGTGACAGAGTTCAGTTTGGAGAGGCAGAGGAATGTTTTCTTCTTTTTTTTAAATTATATTATAATACGGGAGATTTACGGGAAAATACTAAGACGGGAGGACGGCGGGGAAGATGGGTAAAATACGGTAGTTTCCCGGCCAAAACGGAAGACTTGACAGCTATGGCCTATGCCCATGCGTTTACATCTACATATGCAGCCTCTTACACAGAGTTCACCATGTTTTGTTTTTTTTTTGTTTTTTTTTGTACAGTAGTCCAGAATGGTCAAACCAAACACTGGCTCTAGATAGGGTTATGCGTTTTTGAATCACCCACGATTGTTCTCCTGCACGTTTGCCCCATGGGAGAAGATTCCGTTTTTACTGCTAGATGCCACTAAATCTTACACACTGAACCTTTAACAAGTTCTGCAAACCTTTTTGAGGTTTAACAGCAACAAGCATGTTAGTGCATGCAGGGTAGTGTGTGGAACTTGTTGTTTTAGTAGATGTCCAGCTGTAGACAGCTACTAAATCACAACAAGTAGCTGTGCGAGTATGTGAGAGACACGCCGACTCAAAGGTCATGAATGGAGTCCTGGTACAAAAAAAAAAAAAATCTCCATCCTGAGGGTGAAATTTCTGATGATATATCCTGAGTGTTGGATTCGTCAGCCGCTCATTCACGGATCGTATGTAATTGTTCATTTTCTCACATGCCATCTGTGAATCAGTTGTCACTCGATGAATAGATAAGCTCAGTGTGAGCAGTGGTGCAACACACTGTCGGCAGCCATCCAATATACAAAGAATTTGTCTCAAGCACTCGTCACATTAATGACTTCATTACAACCTTTTTAGTCACTGTATTTTTCCAAGTGTCACCTCTGCATTCGTGACCAATCAAATGTTGACAAATGAGCCCTCCTGATAAATCAGAGGTGTCACTCAGCTACCTTACACTGTAAAATTCCCGCTCTGATGCTGACAGTCCCAGCTTGCGCAACCCTCCTCAGCCAGGGAAGTGAGTCATTTCCAGGAGATCCGCTTTAAAAGCAGAGACTCTGCTCTCCAGCACTAGATTCAAACAGCAGAGCAAGAAGGTGGCTGAAGCAACAAAAGGAAAGTTAAGGAGAAAAGGAACTCAGAAGAATAAAAAGCTCATTCTTCACTTTTATATTCAGACTTCATCAGACGACTTTCTGAAAGGCATTCTTCTTTTTTAGTATTAATTGTGGCAGAATATTTAAAAGGCAAAATGATGAGCAGCAGAGTCATTGTCATCTCCATTGCGGTGCTCCTGGCCTTCCTGGCCGTCAGTGAAGGTAAGATTATGATAATTCAATGCAGAAATATTGAGCTATGCTGTTAATCAAGTTACTCTCTCTTCAGTTTTGCATTTGAACAATCACTGCTGCACATTCTGCTGCTCTCTTTTGCTCAATGCAACACACTTATTGCACTTTGTGACCACATGTCCTATCATCTTAACAGGGAGTCTAGGAGTGGAGCTGCACTGCCGCTGTATCCTGACAGAGAGCAAACCTATTGGTCGCCACATCGAGAAGGTGGAGCTGATACCTGCAAACTCCCACTGCGATGAGACTGAGATCATGTAAGACCTCATTTCAAAGCCTTCAACCCATCTAGACAGTGCAGATGTTTATTCTTTGAGATTCTGTCTTTCTCACTCATCGGCTTCATCAACCTGTGTTGACGGTATCTCTGGTTTTTGCTTGGTGTTACAGTGCCACTCTGAAAAGGACAGGCCAAGAAGTTTGCCTTGACCCCGAAGCTCCCTGGGTGAAGAAAGTGATTAACAGGATCCTGGCCAAGTAAGTTCTGGTCAATCAAACAGTATAAGGTTGCTCAAAATAGTCTAGTGTCAGGATGTAAGCGGATAATGTAACAGAAAATGGCAGAGTTGCACAAATTAATTCTTTTCTGTTCCTTTTCTCTGCAGCGAAAAACGCTGAACAGACCGGGAGAGATTTGCTTCATGAGTCTCAGCTGTTTGAAGACAAATCAAGAGTACCAAAAAGTATTTGCTGTCATCAACACTCATTTCATTTTAACACCAGAGGACTGCTGAATGTCCCGATCAAGTGTTGAAAATGACAACAGGATTTAATCATTAATGTTATGTTTGTATCAAACATATTATTTATTTAAGTCTGTGCTTGTTTTTATGTTACTTGTGTGTGTTGCAGCCAGTTGTTTGCTGTCATTCAGCTGCTTCTGTTTGTAAAACTGCGTAACTGTTATATGTCTTTAAATTATGTGCTCAACATATTTATTGATATATTTATAAAACTTTAATGTATTTGAGTACAGCTTTGTTGTTCTGCTGACAACCTGTTGATAAATAAAAAGTATGTATGAAATTGAAAAGGGATTTCTTTGGTTTTGTTTCTTTCTTCTATATTATTATTCTAATATCTGATATATCTTTCAGAATATTCCTTTATTGTATACATAATGAAAAACAGTAATATGCACAGTCAGCACAAATCAGAGTAAGCATGACAAACTGAAGGGAACATGTCTTCTAACACTTTACTTGATCTTTCAAATTTCAAATGAAGTCTTATACTGTAAGAATTTTTACATATACTATGTTAAATATTGTTTTATAACAAATAAATACCTAAGAAAGTAATGTTCTATCAATACACACCCTGCTTGGAGTGTGTCCTAAATCGACCGTATTCCACTTCCCTATGGGACTGTAGTCAACATTACAGGGCTGCAGCACAGGTGCTGCTGGTGTAATGACCTCACTATCTCCCCACAGGGCCTAACCCTGAGTTTATTCTCACACAGATAAATAAATCTAATTGTAATGAGGCTGTGTATAGGACTGCAATCAGACTTTTAAATTGCACCAATAAACACAGCCGGTAAGTCAGTAAACTTTGACCGTACCACAAGTCACATGGACTTCTTGTTGCATTTGTATCAACCTTCAAACCCCTGCAGATAATATTCTCAATAGGATGATGCTGCAACAGCAAAACAATGATTTATAAATTATATGACAGCTTGATATTCCCTAAAAAAAAAAAAAAAGAACTGAAGGGTCCCCCAACAATGTAATGTTGCACTCCTGAAAAGTTAGGGGACTGTTCTCAATCTAAGCAGCAGATTCCTGACTTCTAGCAGTATGGATAAAGCTGCACAGATGCTTCTCTAGTGTCTTTGGTAAGACACAACCTGCCTGGTGAATATGTTGTGCATGTCTTTTAAACACCACACTAGGGCTGAATCAGGCAGTTAATCGACAGCAAATCAACAATTTTGATAAACGATTCATCGTCATTTTTCATTAAGAAAAAAAAGAAGCCAAAAATTAACTGGTTAAGCCTACAGCTTTTCCATTACACATAGGCTATTAAGTGTTTTCTGTGTCTTTCACTGTTGGGATGTGGCTGCTGGCCAGTAACAATACATTTATATTGTGTCAACTTAATGGAATAGTATAAGGGTAATTCTGAGCTGCTGAAACGATATTGTCAGATAATTGTCACACAAGTTTAGTTTGTTAACGTGCCAGTAAAGTTTTGCAGCTGTAGAAATATTTTGCACGTGTGAAAAAGTTTTGTACACAGAGATAGAATTGGCACATATGTAAAAAGTGTTTACAAAAATAGGTGTAAAAACAGGGTCAAAACTTGTGCTCGTATCTTGTAGCAGCGACAAGGCTCTTTCGCAGATACACAAATGATTTCTACAGCTGCAAAGCTTCACTACATTCACAAACTGTGAGGCAATTATTTGTAAACATCATCTCACAAGCTCCAAATATTAATGGGGTTCCATATCTGGCTAATATGTATAATGTGCATGTCTTTAAAACACCACAGTAGAGCTGAATTGATTGGTTGATCAACAGAAAATTAAAAGGCAACAATTTTGACACACAATTCATCATTATTTTTAAAGGAAAAAAAAAAACATTTGTTTCAAGAGAGATGTTTGCACATCCAACTGTCTCAGATGCAGGTACGTTGGAAAGAGAAAGAAAGAAGAAAAACGTCACTTGTTCCAGCTTTTCCAGTACAAGTATTTATTGTGTTCTATGTCAAATATGATAGGAAATTTAAGATTTTGGGGATTTGGCTGCTGGCCTGTAAAAATAAGATAATATAGGTCAGCTTTATGGTATCTAATAAGGGTTATTAATATTTTGAGCTTGTGAAATGATGTTCACAAATAGTTTCTTCACAAGTTTAAGTTGGTGAATGTGTAATAAAGCTTTGCAGCTGTAGAAATATTTTGTGCATGTGTGGAAAAAGTTTTGTGCACACAGAAATAATTCAGTTAGGAACACTCTCATCATAGATTTAACCATTTATTGCAAACAAATTTCCAACTCCACTGATTCAGTATCCGCACCATTGCCCCCCCACCTCCACCATGCACTTTATATGCGCTTTATATTAACTTGTAGTTTTTTTCATGGACTTAAGCAATTCCAGCACTTTAATGCATATTATGTAGCATCCTTTTTATTGTCTATGTTGTCTTGTCAAATTGTCTGTATGTATTGTTGTGCTACTCTATGTGCCTTTTAATTTCCCCTCGGGGATAAGTAAAGTGTTTTGAATTGAATTGAATTGAACTGAATTGAATTGAAATGGAAATACAGCTGTGTTTGGTGCTGAGGGCTCTGTCCTTGGGGTGCACCCTAGATTAGACAAGCAGCATCTTATGCCAAAACAGAGAGAGCAATGCAGAACACCCCCTGGATATACAAGAGTGGGCCCAAGCAAGACATTAATACCATTCTGACCTTTGAGCTATGTTCAGACTCCGACTTAGAAAGGTGGAGGTTGCGGTGATGGAGGTACAGCTTTGCCAGCAGCAGTGGCCGCGGTGTGTGGCAGCAGTGGTGTAGAGGGATTAGTGAGTAGGAAGCCATATTTAAATGCACCGCCTTGTGTAGGAGTGGGCTGTGAGAACAACAGTTTGATATGAAATAGATTTACTGTATATTATCAAAGAGTAAATGTAAACCCAGCTGGTCCCAGGAGCAGCTAACAAAGAATCTGAAATCATCATCTTTTGTACAAACTCCACCTCTTCTTCTCTGGACGGTTTGTGCCAGGCACCTTATTATACAAAGACTCTCTGAAGTTCTTTCTCTAACGAGCCCAGTTACTCATATGCTCCGGTGTGTACAGGTCGAGATGACCCTCTACCTTCTCTTGTATTCTAACTTTCTGATCCTCTCATATTTTCTGTTGCAAGTCATATATATAATTAAATAAACATGTCCCACAAAACATCAGATCAACATCAACATGCAACATCAACAACAATCAGATGAGCGCAGAATCAATCTCTAACTCGTTACTATGACTAAATGTCAAATGATTACACTGAATAATTTTTAAACAGGTTTATTGTGAATATTCTCCACATTTTATTCAGAATATGTTGCCTGGTCATTCAGCTGTGAAGCATGTCCCAAGCTCATTGCTCAGCATGTTTTGCACAAGCAATACACATGTACAAATTACATGTGCATGCACAAAACTGTCACACATGCACAAAATATTTCTACAGCTGCAAAACTTTATTACACATTCAGAAACTTAACTGTGAGAAAATTATTTGTGAACACACCAACACTTATTTGATTCCATACAACTTGGGTTGTGAGAAATTGTGATAATCTTTTATTTATTCATTTATTTGACATTTTATAGACTAAATGATTAATAGCTTAATTGAAATAATCTGGAGACCTATCAATAATGAAAATATTTGTTAGTTTCAGCTCAACCCCAAACCCCAGTTTGTAATGGAATCTGTTTTCTATTTTCAGCCCTAGCTGGAATAACCCGGATGACGTCATATCGGTTATTTCTTCAGACTTGACAAAGGTCTCTCCAGAGCCACAGAGGACATCATGTAGGTAGAGCGGCTCTTTAAAGGAATAGAAGGAAAAATATTGTTCACAGCTACAGCACAACAAGAGTGAAGTTAAAGTTTTACATATTTTCTCCATCCATGCACCTTACCAAGGCTTCTGTATCGTACCAACTTTACTTTCACATGATAGGAAAAATTCTCACACAACAAATCAACCACTACAATTCTAAGAAAAAAGGGGTAACACACAGTTTGTCACATCTGTTTTAGCAGTGTTGGAATGTAACTAAGTACATTTACTCATGTACTGTTGCCTATGTAACTGCAATTTTGAGGTACTTGTACTTTATTTGAGTATTTCCATTTTCTGCTGTTTTATACTTCTACTCCACATCATCTCAGAGGTAAATATTGTACTTTTTACTGCAGTACATTTATTTGATAACTTTAGTAACTAGTTACTTAGTTTTTTTACATTTTGTATCAGTAACCTAAATATGCAAGCAGGTTATGATATATTATTTTTGGTTAAGCCACCTATTAGTATGTAGAGTAATTTGAATTCGTTCCACCTTTACCAGCTACAACATTAACATGATTATATGATAGTATTATTTTGAGATGGACCATTCTGCATAATGCCTATTTTTACTTTTGGTACTTTAAGTATATTTTAATGTTAATACTTTTGTGCTTTTATATATGTAAAATTTTGACGCAGTACTTTTACTTGTTACAGAATGTCACTACAGTGTGGTGTATTTTTACTCAGCTGAAAGGTCAGAATACTTCCTCCACCACTGTGTTTTATCTGTGAATAATCAGCTTTTTTTATCCACAGAGCATAGAGTGTTCTCTGTTTGCTCCTGGTAAAGTTCATTTTAAATGAATGAGTCATTTTCTCTCAAGAACGGTAGCTACATTTATAGGTACAATAAAAACGCTAACCTATCTATGTACTACTGTTACAGTGAAACACCCCAGGTGAACACATTTTTTTTAATGCACCAGCCAATTTTGAGATTTTGTGCTATTCTGCTTAAATAATATGTCTTCTTTCAGATCAGTGGAAAGAAAATGTCCAAAATACACATTTGAGTGTTCTGGAAATGTATGGAAAATAGGATATTTAATTGGATAATGCAGAATTTGTATATTCAAACATAACATTTCAGTTCCATGCAAAAACTAATTGTCTTAATGGAAGTTTGCAGCTGGGGACATTTCATGGCGATATGTTAGATGTAAAATAGATGTTAGATGTTTGTTACAATGTTTACCCTAGTGTCCTATTTTTGTTCTAAAAATGTGTGGAGTTTAACATATCCTTAAAGGCTGTTTTCCCAAAATGAGATTTTTCTCACACTCTGAGCAAAAAATTTCAACCTCAGTAGCACCAACATACACCAGACTTTCAGGTCTGCTCCTGTCTATGTTCTGAAGGTTTTTAAAGAGGGACTGGGTCATATATCACTCATAGTCTCAGTGACATATGACCCAGTCCT